CCCTACAGCAACATTATAGAAATATGGAACTGGATTAGTTGAGTTGCCACTGCTATAGAAAGAATGACCTTGTGAAAAGGAGTGAGCAGAAAAAAGACAGCATATATGTACCAATATGGGGCACTCTTCCGAATAACGGTCCCAAAATATTTAAGGGGCCAGTCGCGAGGTTACTGTATTTCTCGAGCTTATACATATAACTTTCGTCCATTTGCGACTCATACGGCACGGTCAGCTCGATCAGGGTGAGCTGACGTTTCTACGCAGAATGTAGGACTATGTCGCGTCTTTGTTCTCTCCTACAGACCCAAACATTTATTTTCTCATAATTCTTTCTTCTCTCCTTCAGGTACAAACATTTATGACCAGATCAGACATTATGTGGAAAAGGGGTGGGCTCGGGAAGAGGGCAGGGTCAAACAGACCGATATAAATGGATGCTTACATCAGAAGTTATGTGGAAAGGGGTGGGGGGGGGTGGGGGTGGGTGGGGGGGGAGGGTTGGGAAGAGGGCAGGGTGTGGAAAGGGTGGGGTGTGGGGGGGGGTTGGGTGGGGGGGGGGGTGGGGTGGGGGGTGGTGGGGGTTGGAAGAGGGCAGGGTCAAACAGACATATATAAATGGATGCTTGCATCATAAGTTATGTGGAAAATGGGGGCGGGGGGGGGGGGGGGGGGGGGGTGTGATGGAAAGAAAGTAGGAACACACAGACATAAATAAATGTATGACTACCACAGAAGATATGATCGGTATGACACTAATCGCCTTTACTTCCCAGGTCAAACCTGGTACCTACACCATTCTAGTTCTTAGTAAATATTATTTTAAAATCTATTTGGCTGAAGAACCTACACATAGCTGCAAGCAAGCACATTAACCACTAAAATAGCACCCAGCTCAAGTCTGTCTGTGAACTATTCTGATTTCAGGATGTTTAAAGACGCCAAAAGTGTCATTGTTGTTGAAGCTGACGACAGTGAACTGAGGGAAGCATTTGGTGTGTCAAGGCTGCAAATAACGGAAGAGAAGATAACTGGAGATATCTATACAGCCAATGCCATGATATTTCTAGGTTAGTTTGTGTTGTACAGGATCGTTGGTATCTTTTGGTCTTGATTCTTCGTGCATTATAAAGCTTTTAATATTAAACCACACAGCATTATTACTAGATCTAGACAAGTGGTTCTCAACCTTGCGTATACCGCGAACCTTTGATACAGTCCCTTCATGTCAAGGTGACCCCAACCATAAAATAATTTTCATTACTACTTCATAAGGTTAGTTGTTTATCCTTTACAGGATTTTGCAGAACCAACCCCAGCAGCCCCTGGCTGTTGTGTGGTTTCTCTAGGCAAATTTACGTCTAGTAGTTTGCCATTGCTTCCTGGACGGTCAGCTCCTTCGACCACTGTCGAAACCAACGCAAGGCGCATGACCCTCAGCTGTGATCGAACCCGGCACCCTGGCATTACAAAGGGTTCCCATCGACTTAGCCACAGAGCCGACTGCTACTTCATAACTTCAGTGAATATGTGTTTTCCGATGGTCTTAGACGACCTCTGTGAAAGAGTCACTAGACCCCTTAAAGGGGTCACTACCCACAGGTTGAGAACCACTAATCTAGACAGTAGGGAGGGTGTACAGTTAACAGACTAGGCACAGACTTAGATCTAATATTTTAACATCTACACAGGTGAGAATGGTATGGCGAAAGAGAAACTGGAGGATTGCTGTGAATTCATGCAGAGCGAGTTTGCAGATCATCCAGAACTGTCAACAGCTGTTAACTCTCTTGGACTTATTGAAGAGAGAGGTGAGACCTATCGTTTTTGAAAGGAAAGAGTAAATAGTTAACCCAGATCTAAAAAACAAAATGACACCCCTTTTCCTGTTTGGCACAATGTGTATGTGGTGCTAGATCAGTCTTTCTAAAGACAATTGACATTCAGTGGGTATCATGACATCTGCTTTTACTTCTTGTGGCATTTCCTGATACTCATTAAACACTGTATTGACCTGGGAGTCCTAGATAAACGTTAAAAACCTGCAAGTAAATCAGAAATGTAAACTTCACTCTTTCGGTACCAGCCTCTGATGACTTTAACTCCTTTTTTCTGACCAGTATTTGTGGCCAGAGTTGCTAAAAAAAAAATAACAGTATGGACAAGAAGTAAAACTATCATATGGAAAAGAAGAACTGAAACTATTATATAGAAAATAGGAAGTAAACTATCACATTGAAAAGAAGAAGCAAAATTATCAAATTGAAAAGAAGAAGTAAAACTATCATTTGGAAAAGTAGAAGTAAAAATATCATATAGAAAAGTATAAGTAGAACTATCAAATGGAAAAGAAGAAGAAGTAAAACTATCATTTGGAAAGAAGAAACAGAACTATCATATAAAAAAGAAGTAGAATTATTATAGGGAAAAGAAGAAGCAAAACTATCAAATGAAAAAAAAAAAAAAGAAGCAGAACTGTCATATGGAAAAGAAGAAGTAAAACTATCGTAGGGTAAAGTAGAAGCAAAATTATCATAAAAGAAAAAAAGAACTATTATATGGAATAGAAGAAGTAAAACTATTATATGGAAAAAGAAGAAGTAAAACTATCATTTGAAAAAGAAGTAAAACTATCATATGGAAAAGAAGAAGTAAAACTATCATATTGAAAATAAGAAGTAAAACTATCATATGAAAAGAAGAAGTAAAACTATGATATAGAAAAGAAGAAGTAAAACTATCATATGGAAAATAAGAAGTAAAACTATCCAATGGAAAAAAAAGAAGTAAAACTGTGATATTTTAAAAAAAGAAGTAAAATTATCATATGGAAAAGAAAAAGCAAAACTATCATATGAGAAAAAAGAACTATCATATGGAAAAGAAGAAAAACTATCACATGGAAAAGAAGAAGTAAAACTATCATATGGAAAAGAAGTAAAACTATCATATGGAAAAGAAGAAGTAAAACTATCATATGGAAAAGAAGTAAAACTATCATGTGGAAAAGAAGTAAAACCATCATATTTAAAAGAAGAAGTAAAACTAACAATTTGGATATAATGACTCAAAACAATAGTTGTCTGCGGCAGAGGAGAATGAGAAATGTGTACTATCTTTAGGACTACACAACGAAATAATTGTGAGTTGCATGGTACCAAAAGAGTTAAAATCCGGAGCCGCAATAGCAGCCAAAGGCTCACTTGCATTCAAATCTGCATTTTTCAAAATCGTCCTTGGCTCCCAATTCGACCTAGCATTAAACAGGTACAAAGAAATGTCCTAGAAAGAAAAGGCTACCAGCATAATATTATCCATGTGACTAGATACTTAAACTTTGGGTCTTTTGTTTTACTTTCATACGTTATCCATGTAACTAGATACTTAAATTTTGTTCTTTTGTTTTACTTTCATACGTTATCCATGTGACTAGATACTTAAACTTTGGGTCTTTGGTTTTACTTTTATATGTTATCCATGTGCATAGATACTTTGAAACTCTAGGCTCCATAATAAACAGCACTGGAGACTGTTCAACAGAGATAAAAAGGAGGATGGCCAAAGCAGTACAAAAATTACACAGCAAGAAAAGTCTATGGTTGAGCACCAGGATGTAACGATTTTGAGAGCTTCCATCTTCCCTGTAGCAACATACGGATATGAGTTGTGAACTGTCTACCAGTTCTTATAGAGGGAAAATAGGGAATTTTGAGCATAAATGATAGAGATTCTCAGAATACCGTGGACTAAAGAGAAAAGAAATACCGACATTCAATAAAATTTAAACATCTAGAAAGATTGGCTAATAAACAGCCTCCTGTCTCAAAAGTTGTGATTTTTTGGCCATCTCAAGCGCCACGGCGGATTGGGAAGAACAATATAGCAGAAGACACAGGGTTGCAAGATAAAAAACTTCATTTTATGCCAAACAATTACCCAAAATATGCCAGAAAATGCCAAATAAAGTGTAACATTGTATCACTTCACATGAAAAGCTCTAGACTGAATTCTTCACTGTCATCCTCACTGGAACCAGTGGAAGATACAGCGTAAACCTTTTCGGATGTAAAATCTTTAAGAATTATCTCACATGGAATTAAATCTTTGCAACTCATCTATAATGATGACATATTTCTTTTTCCGAAAATCATCAATAAGGTCATCTTTAAGAGCAGGCGATACATCATTTTTTTTTTTAGGCATAAACATTAAGCTCTATGCAACTGTATGTGCTTCAATGTACTCCCCAGACCATGCGCTCTCATGATTTCACTTAGATAATCGTTTGTGCGTATTGTACAATGGCAGGTCATGCCTACAGCAAGTTGCAACTCTGCTGCCTTTAACTTTATCATTACCTTGCCTAGCAGTCACAGTTGTAATAAGCTGTGACTGGCTTTTTGACGGAATTTTCATCCTGTGTTTTTCGGATTTTTCCTAATTTGAAATGCTACTAATTCTTGGTGCATAAGTGCAATGTCATTCATTCATTCATTCATTCAGTAGCATGTCCCTCGCGGAACCTCGCTGCCATAACAACCCTCCGGAAAACCTTCCTATCCTGAGCAAGATGTCCTGCGTCTGATACACCCATCTGGAGATCATCTGCCACATCCTGCACCCATCTTCTCCTTGGCCTTCCTCTTCCTCTCTTCCCAGGCATATACCCCTCCATTATTGTTCTCTCTAGACTTCCATGACGTTTCAAGTGACCAAAATATTTCAATTTTCTTTGTTTTATTGTCTTTACTAGCCAACCCTCTTCAATATTCAGCTCTTGAAGTATGGATGCATTTGTTCTTTTCTTTACCCAAGATATTCTTAGAACCTGTCTGTAACATTTATATTCAAATGCATTTATGCGCTGTTCCGCTTGTTTAGTAAGTGTCCAGAGCTCACAGGCGTATGTTGCAATGGGAAAGATGCATGCTCTTAAAAATCTGACCTTTGTAATTCTATCTGTACAATTCCATAATTTATTCAGTTGTTTTAGTCTTTGAAGAGCAATTGATAGTCGCCGTTTAATTTCTTTCATTGTGTCACCATTGTTGGTAACCAGTGACCCAAGATATTCGAAATTTTCCACCACTTCCAATCTTTCCTCATTAACATATATTTCCTTCTCCATGGCAGTTTTGTTTGTATGCATTAGTGCAATGTCACAGTTTACAATATGCTGACTCTGATCCGTCTGAAGATCTTTTGAGTTTTCTTTTTTCTCTTTTGTTTTCTTCCAGTTACTATTATACTTGCAATGTCATAAGATGCTTTTCATTGTTTTTTTAATTTTTTTTTTTATGACGTGGCTATTGGTAAAAGTAATAAAATCTGTCACAGATAGAACTAGGTCTATTTGGTAAATCCTCTCTATTTTCTGTCCTCGAGTAGTTTCTGAGCAGTCTGAATCAGTTGATATCAATGATGGGTTTTGGTTTTAAGTCCCGCATTTATTCTTGTAGATCAACATAAATTACAAGGGCCCTGGTTTATCTAAGTCACGATCCGTTTAGGAAGACAACAACTTCAAAATGAAATGGCGCGGATCTCCGTTAGTCCGTACCAAGACATCACAACAAAGTCAAACCGAAATAAACATGTTAACTGTTGGTCTACATTGCCAGGAAAATCCCAGATATGTTAAAATATGCCAGTTCATTATTTTATGCCAGTTCAATTTCAAATATGCCAAATTTGTGGAATCTGGCATAAAAAATGCCAATATGACAACCCTGAGAAGACATGGTATCAGGAAGGAGTTTATTATTCGCCCATATTTCTGATCAGTGTTTAAGTTTTATATAGTTCATCGTCATCATCATTATTATTATGTTTTGCTCTATAAATTCTCCAAAATAATAGTTCATCATCATCATTATTATGTTGTGCTCTTTAGTTGTCCCAAAAAAATAATTCATCATTATCATCCTTATTATTCTGTTGCGCTCTTTAGATGTCACAAAATAATAGTTTATCATCATCATCATCATTATTCTATTGTGCTCTTTAGATGTCAAAAAAAATAGTTCATCATCATCATCATCATTATTCTGTTGTGCTCTTTACATGTCACAAAATAATAATTCATCACCATCTTCATAATTGTATTGTGCTCTTTAGATGTCACAAAATAATAGTTCATCATCATCACCATCATCATTGTGTTGTGCTCTTGACATGTCACAAAATAATAGTTCATTATCATCATCATTATTCTGTTGTGTTCTTTAGATGTTGGAAAATAATAGTTCATCATTATCATCATCATAATTTTGTCGTGCTCTTTAGTTGTCACAAAATAATAGTTCATCATCATCATCATTATTCTGCTAAGCTTTTTACATGTCACAAAATAATAGTTTATTGTAATCAGCATCATTATTCTGTTGTGCTCTTTAGTTGTCACAAAAAAATAATTCATCATCATTATTTTGCTGCGCTCTTTAGAAGTCACAAAATAATAGTTCATCATCATCATCATTATTCTTTTGTGCTCTTTAGATGTTCCAAAATAATAGTTCATTATCATTATTATTTTTTTGCACTCTTTAGATGTCCCAAAATAATAGTTCATCATCATTATCATTATTATGTTGCACTTTGTAGATGTCCCAAAAGGCACACAGATTCCTCCATTCCACCACTAACCTGTGCAGTTTTTCTAATATCATGTAACATACACACAGCCTACTTTAATATTGAAAAAAAAAAATACATTTTAACACTTATATTTGATCTCTCAATGTTCATTTTATGCTTTCATTTTTAACTTTAAAAGGTAATCACGACTTAGCAAAAGCACTTGAAAAGTACTTGGAGTCCTACAAAATACGACAAGACTATGCCAATTTCAACAGGGAGATCTTGGTGGTTTCATTGAACAACATTGGGATGATACTTCTGAGGCAAGGACAGCTAGGCATGTATACAACTAACTTTGTTATTCCGTGCTAGTTTTATGTTACTTATTTGGTCAAGTCAAATAGTTTGACATACAAATACATAGTTGAACAGTGATCAAAAGAAAACTGTGTTGCTAAGACACAAGAAGAGATACTTGTTATTCATATTGACATACTAGGACGTTTTTCCAACCCTCTTGTGCTCAATCCTCCGATGCAGCAGCCATCACAGTATCTCCATGATCAATATACCCAGTAGGAGTTGACTGGCAAATCTTCCTTTGCATAGAAACTGATTTCTGCATGCCTGTCCTCATTTAAAACACACTTGCAACAGGTGGCACATCTTCACTGACCCTTCATTTCAAAGTCTGTAGAATTCAGAGCATTCAGTATGTCTGCCCTGCCCATACTTCATCCTCTCTGACTTGCTTGTCTCAACATCTCTAGAAGTTAAAGCATTCAGTGTGTCTGCCCTGCCCATACTTCATCCTCTCTGACTTGCTTGTTTCAACATCTCTAGAAGTTAAAGCATTCAGTGTGTCTGCCCTGCCCATTCTTCATCCTCTCTGACTTGCTTGTCTCAACATCTCTAGAAGGTAAAGAATTCAGTATGTCTGCCCTGTCCATACTTCATCCTCTCTGGCTTGCTTGTCTCAACATCTCTAGAAGTTAAAGCATTCAGTGTGTCTGCCCTGCCCATACTTCATTCTCTCTGACTTGCTTGTCTCAACATCTCTAGAAGTTAAAGCATTCAGTATGTCTGCCCTGTCCATACTTCATCTTCTCTGACTTGCTTGTCTCAACATCTCTAGAAGGTAAAGCATTCAGTATGTCTGCCCTGTCCATACTTCATTCTCTCTGACTTGCTTGTCTCAACATCTCAAGAAGTTAAAGCATTCAGTGTGTCTGCCCTGTCCATACTTCATCCTCTCTGACTTGCTTGTCTCAACATCTCTAGAAGGTAAAGCATTCAGTATGTCTGCCCTGTCCATACTTCATCCTCTCTGACTTGCTTGTCTCAACACCTCTAGAAGGTAAAGCATTCAGTGTGTCTGCCCTGCCCATACTTCATCCTCTCTGACTTGCTTGTCTCAACATCTCTAGAAGGTAAAGAATTCAGTATGTCTGCCCTGTCCATACTTCATCCTCTCTGGCTTGCTTGTCTCAACATCTCTAGAAGTTAAAGCATTCAGTGTGTCTGCCCTGCCCATACTTCATTCTCTCTGACTTGCTTGTCTCAACATCTCTAGAAGTTAAAGCATTCAGTATGTCTGCCCTGCCCATACTTCATCCTCTCTGACTTGCTTGTCTAAACACCTCTAGAAGGTAAAGAATTCAGTATGTCTGCCCTGTCCATACTTCATCCTCTCTGACTTGCTTGTCTCAACATCTCTAGAAGTTAAAGCATTCAGTATGTCTGCCCTGCCCATACTTCATCCTCTCTGACTTGCTTGTCTCAACATCTCTAGAAGTTAAAGAATTCAGTGTGTCTGCCCTGTCCATACTTCATCCTCTCTGACTTGCTTGTCTCAACACCTCTAGAAGGTAAAGCATTCAGTGTGTCTGCCCTGCCCATACTTCATCCTCCACTAACCACTTCGTGAATGGCCAGTCTATTGGCTCTTTCATTTCCTATAAACCCTCATGTCCTGTCATGTACAGACAAGATAAGTTTCTTCTGGATGCTCTAAACCCATTCTGTCCAGAACAGGCCAGTTTAGATCTTCTTAAGCAGGTGCATTGAGCCCGTCACTATCACTATCACTATCACTATCACTATCACTATCACTATCACCGTCAATATCAATGCGTGTGTTGCTTTCTGTTCACAAAAGAAGATTTAAAAAATAAAAAAGCAAAAGGGCTTTTCCACAAAGTTAGTTGCCTATCCTTTACAGGAGGTTGAAGAACCAACCCCAGCATTTTTTTTAGCTGTTGTGGTTTTTCTAGGCAAACTTTACGTTCAGTAGTTTGCCATTGCTTTTTGAATTGTCAGCTTTCGGTACCACAATCAAAACTAGGGCAAGACAGATTGTCCCCAGCTGGGATCACTGGCATTATGAAGAGCGTTCACAACACCTAAGCCACAGACGCTGACTTGTTCATAAAGCAAGTGAGTAAAGTAAAGGACCCTTTTCCACGCCTTTAGGCATATAGGGCATATAGGGCGAGACCTATATTTTTATAGACCAATCGGCACAAGATGGATGATGTGGTCAGCATCATGATCATGCCGGCTGCCTTTACTTCCTGGGACTGCACCCAGTACCTCTTCAAGGCTTGATCGACCTGGGAGCCAAGGTCATTTTTGAAAATTTCCGGCTCCGCCAGGCAGCGAACCTACGACCTTCGGATCCACGGCGAGTGGCTAGCTGCTTGGCCACAGCAACTGCCCTCATAAAGCAAGGGTTGATTGTTAAGGCAGATTTTGTTGGTGGCTTCAGGGCTGAGAAGTAGAACACTGATAAAGATTCAACAGGAAAGCAAGGACAGGACAAGGCTTCTGATCCTTACAGCTTGTCTGGTGATTCTCTGTCCACTTCTGCTCAGAATGTGCTCAATAGAATACAATCTTCTTTGTCTTATAACTGTTGCTTCCAGTGGTTGTCCTGACATTTCTCTTATTTCTTTACTTTTCTTGAAACATGCCAATTAATGTTTCCTCTGGTATTTATTTTTTGAGTGTATTTATTTTTCATTCATTATCTTCAGTGGTATTCCACTTTCAAAACATATGTTGAAATCTAAATAAAAATTGAAATTATTATTTTTTAAAGAAAAAAAAATGAATTCTCCATGATCTGCTACTTATGTCTTTAATATATTTGTTTTTTCTGTTTATTGTATAGTTTCTGTATTGTTATTGTTTATTGCCAAACAGCTCTGTGTAAGCAGTTTTTGAGAGAAGCCCTGAACATCAGACGTGACCTTGGTTGGAAGCATTCAAATACATCCCTCTCACTGACACACATGGGTGTGGTCGACTTCAGAAGGTAAGCTCATTCTAGAACAACTGCCCAGTTTCTGGAACATTTTCACATTTGCCTTTTTATGTTTCTGGAGCTGCATTAGCGCAGTCGATAGGGGGGTTCGCTGGGTTCACCCAGCTTTTAGGAAATTGGTACCAGAGTTGACACTCAGGGGTGAATGGAGGAATGTCGCTGTAGCTACAGAGTTACGTGCAGATAGTGACCAGGGCGGAGAGTTTCTTATCAGCTGTCCATACTGGTGGTAGAGCACTTATAGTTTATAACCATGTGCAATGAAGCTGGTTCACATCTGCTGTCTTTACCTTACCTTTGTATGTTTTAGGGAGCTGCTGTGATGTAACAACTAGCCACTTGCCTGAAGATGGCAATGTTGTGGATTCAGGTCTTGAAGGAGCCATACTTTTTCAAAAATAACCTTCGCTCCCAGGTCGACCCAGCCCTAAATGGGTACCAAGTGAAGTCCTATAGTAAAGGCGGCTGGATTGACACATTACCCACAGGCCCTATATGCCCAATACACCTGAAGGCATGGAAAAGGTCCTTTACTTATTATGTTTTACAAGATCTTCAACATCTAGTGCCTTATTTTATTAACTCTTTCTGCTTCTTTCTTACCACTGTCATAATCTATTATTAACTGTATTCTGTTTCTTATTATAATCGATACTAGATGGGTTTGGTAATCAATTCTGCGCACATCCTTCTGTCTCAAGTACTGTAAGTCATTTCTGGTAAAGATGTTCTTGCATACCATGATGACAAACTGTCCAGTATCTTCTCTTTATTGACATCACAGCACTCAAGGCTTTCCCATGCATGCTCTGTCCTCATCTTCAGCAGCCAGCGCAGAGTTCCAATACCGGTCGCAATCTGGTTATATGTCCATCTTGCCTTTCCTCTGAGTGTATTGAGCCGGCCAGACCCTCTGGTTAAACCCAGGTGCCTCATTCTCTCCAGGCCATAAAAATCTTCTATCTCTACTGATTCCGTTGCTTGTTCCTAAAGGGCCTTGACCACATCTGCCTTGTCGTGTATAATTTTTATGACAGTATGAAGCTATCATTTTACATTTTTATTTTGCAGTGGTGACTTTGCTGCAGCTTACAGAAATACACAGGAGGCTGATGCGATTCTTCAGGAAATTAATTCCAACCACGACACACGACTGCGCATCAGTAACACATTAGGTCACTTAAGCCAGCTGTTGGAAATGGAAAGACAGCGAGGTAAGAAGGAGGCAGGAATTCAAGTAGAGACATCACCGCAGGGATATTTCAATCGATCTGTGGAGATGGCAAAAAGAACTACAGGCAACCACAGTGATGATGGTTACCATCATTTATTTCTGGCATGTGAGCACGCAATGTTGTTGGCTTTGGGGAATTCAGAGGAGGACTATAAGAGGCACAAAGACATCATGTTGCCCTTTTTTGAAGTACATGAAACAATGGGTAAAATGATGTTCAATGCAAATGAAAGGATCCCTAAGCACAACGATCTGCATAAATACTTCTCATCCACAGATTATAAAGCCATAAACAAAAGAATCTTTGTCACCCATCTTGTTAAAGCTTGTGAATTTTGTCAGATGGCTGCTCCTTTCTATTCAGCAGAAGAAATGTGGTGCACAGATAAGCCTCCAAACATAGATGACAGTGAAGAAGATGAGGTGACAGCATCAGCTGTCCAAGCACATGAGGATGAACTGGCATGTTCATCTACAAACAACACTTCAGAACAAAATGACAGAATGCCAGATAATCTTGACAATGCAGACTCAGCTATCTCAGATATTTCAAACAGAGCCTGCACACCCCAAGATGAGAGATGGATGCCATCAGCTGCAGATTTGAGTTTAGCCTATCTGAAGTCCAAATCTAGAGAAGACCTGGAAAAGTATAAGTCTGCATATTTGAGCACTGTTTCTGATATTTGCAAGCAGGAGTTTGGCTTGTACACTCCAAGTGACATCAACAGGCAGGAGCCTCAGCTGTCAACTCCAGCTGGTAACTTGAACCTTCAATATAATGAACAGGTGACACCATCTGAGATCCTCACTAACAACAGTGTTGTTCAGTCCAGAAGACAAGACTTAATTCCAGCAGACTTGCAGGGTGCTACACCAGATGGTTCTCAGGTAAACAAGAACAGTAACACAGAAAACACACCTGCTGTTTATGAGAAGACACTAGCAGATTTCACAAGCAACAACAAACCATCATCCTTGGTGACAGACAGTTCTTTAAACAATTTGCATGATAATGCCAGACTTTCCATGATGTTTGCAACATCTGCCTACAGTAATGCCAACACATTGAAGCTGGTAAATAGCAATGACATAATAGAATATGATGATGATTATTCTAATTTTACTGATGATGATTATGATGGTGAAGATCATGATGATGGAGATGATGTTGCATCAGAAACTTATGATGTAAATGCATCTTACCAGCATGTACATGCAATATCTAGTGGAAATGAAAAAGGCCATATTGACAGTGGTCCTTCATATGGCTTTCCACCAAAGAAAGATCAGACCAGGAGTCAGCAGAGTGATAAACTATTGGCATTGCAAAATCCAGAAATGTCACTTGAAATCAAAGATGCATTAAACCAGAATTTTGGGTTTGGCAGTCCTGTGGTGTCTCTGTTTCAACATTCACCAGCCAATAGAGAGTTTCACATACAGGTGGACAACAAACAGTTCCAGGCAACGGACCAAGCCAGGCTTCAAGGAAATAATGTGCCAAACATATTAAGAAATCAGTAAAATCCAGACTGTTCATGGGAAATAAAAATGCAGTGTAAATGCTTTAAAAGGATGTTTACAAGTGAGAAGATCAACTTCAGTGCACCATATTTGCATCATATAGCTCAGTCTATCCCCCTAGAACATAGAGCAGCTTTTGAAGAGCTTTACACAAAGAAAAATCTTGAAAACATTAACCTGGGCAGTTCTTCTCCTTCTGCATTTGTTGTTAAAAAGGCAACTGGCACATTTTGTTGTGTGGCTAGGCGGCAATATCTGCCTCACTTGGTCTAACAGTATCCGATTTCAGCAAAATCTGAAATGGCCATCTCTTACAAAATGCTTAAGGGAAAGTAGATCTATTTTTCTTTTCTACAGAATGGGCCTGCAAAATCTGAAATAGTCATCTCTTACAAAATGCTTAAGGGAAAGTAGATCTATTTTTCTTTTCTCCAGAATGGGCCTGCAAAACCTGAAATAGTGATCTCTTACAAAATGCTTAAGGGAAAGTAGATCTATTTTTCTTTTCTCCAAAATGGGCCCAAGGACCCACACCAAAGTGACCCCAAAAGGATCTCAGAAACACTTTTACTTATTCATGAAACCGATAGCAGGATCTGAAATCAAACCAAAAACCTTCAGATTTTGAGGGGAAATGGCTTAAACACTACGTCACCGAGAAACCCCCACCCCCACTCCATAGAAAATAAACACTGTATCACGCTGCTACCCAGTGATATTGACATAATATGCCTATTCTGCAGAAATTAAAATGGTTGTTGATGGCTTTGAGTAACTATGCTCATTTACTCTTGGCAACCCTTTATTCTCCTATGTGATTATATGTTCAGAAAATTCACATCTGTTTTTCTCAGATAGTGTCATAACATAAGTGCTACAGGAGGTGGTGTAGGCCTCTACATAACTTTTCTAATATGATTCTGTGTTTTTTTGGTGCTTTCCATACCATTCAGTTTTTATATTATTTCACCTAAACAAAGGCTAGGATTGAAGTTCTAGACGTTTTTCATGCATTTTCATAATTAATGTTTTAATGTTCTTAGCCATTCTCATATGTGTATATCTTCTTAGCTGTTCGCTCGCTATCTCTCTCTCTCTCTCTCTCTCTCTCTCTCTCTCTCTCTCTCTCTCTCTCTCTCTCTCTCTCATGACCTGGCTAGTTAGTTAGTTAGTCGACAGATTATCCTTATTGTACGTCGAACCATTCAGTCCACAGATCCCCTCCTTAGTAAATCTTACAGTGTGTAGAGGCTCACGACACCAGTTCTGTGTTGGTTTCCTATTCTTCTTTGGCTTCCTGCATAGTGCTCTTGTCTGGCCACACCCCTCTTAACATCCTATTCTTGCAGTCTGGTCATGGTTGCAGATACAAAGTTATCACTTGGTTCGTGCAAACGTCTTTCTTCTCCTAGAGCATTCAGAATATCAGCATGGTCCATTGCTTAACTGCTTAGTAGCTTTACCTGCAAGCCGATCAGCTTGCTCATTTCCTTGCACACCTGGCTGCCCTGGCACAAATATGAAACTGATGTGTGTTGATCGCTCTCGAGACTCCAACCACTGTCTTCGAACCCAGCCTTTCTCTATCTTCATGTGCATACTCATTGAGTCAGTGAGAAAGCAAGTGTGGAAAAAGGTCTGTGTCTCCAGCCATGTTTTTGTTTTGGTGACTACCATGACCTCCATAGTCAGACTACTTGTGATATGACATGGCTTACCAAATAATTATTCTATTCAACTTTAAGAAATTATTATTCCTTCGAACTTCCCTAGAACCTTACAGTCTAGACACATATAGACAATGCTTACAGATGATTTGCTTACTGTTGCCTTGTTGAGTAATATTTTTATCTTTTATAAGTCTAACTGATTTTGCAAGCTGGTAATATTCATTTGAAGCTTAATAGCAAAAACCAGGATATCTAAATAGATTGCCCCCTCCCCCGCCCTTCCCCAGCTTAGCTTTGTTTTTGTGTATTATAATGTTAATTTATTTCTGTCCTGATTAATTGGTTGATTTTGTGTATAAAGTTTTCTGATTTTCTATATTAATTCCATTGTTCTCTTGATGCCTAAAATATTTATTAGTGTAAATTTGTCTTGTCCCATTTATAATGATGCATCATTCTATCTTATATCAGAATTTTTGTCTTAACAATGTAATTTGCGTTAAGTGCTGTGCAAATTTAATTTAAAATAACACAAATTGACTTTAAATTTCCCTTACACATTCTGGTGAAAATTTGTTGAAGAAGGAATAAAAGGTTGTTTTATTTGTTGTGGTATGAATACAATTGTAATACAAGTATTAAAAAAAAAATCATATGCTTTACACTAATTATGAATAATCTTATTATTTTGATGAAAATAAGTGGTGAATTTAATAAATCAAAAAGTTATCCATTCCATTCTTTCGCCCTTACTGTTATTAGAAGTATGTTCAATGTCTATAACATTATGATTAAGTTTAATCTGACCAAAGGCATCATTTCAAGAAATATTGATAATGTTGTAAACTTAGTATAACTTCATCTATATTGAGTCCCCGTGTGGGTTCTGGGGCCCCATTGTGGGGAAAACAAGAATAGACCCTCTGCCTACCCAAAAGCATGTCGTAAGAGTTGACTAATTGGGAAGCTTCCTTTGAAGTCGGAGTGCATCTGCCTGAGTGGCAAGGAATCAACAGTCTGAATTCAAGTGAATCAAATCTGTAAAACTGATGCACACACAACACTGAGGTTCTGGAGCAGGACTGCAGTTTAGAAGTGGACGAACAACCAGAACTTTCCACCAGAGTGTAAAGCTGGTGAACGCGAAGAAGAAGAAGATCTACATTGAGTACTTGTTCTATACAAAAGTGTGTTGAAGCAATTACTGTCATAGCAACTAATCATGGAGTGGCCAAACAATTGGACATAGACAGTCAAGTTTTACGGAAAGACAACAAGCGGAAAGCTGTCTCTTTGCTACCTGAATGGATCGGCCAGATGGATGGGGGCGAGACAAATTCATTGAACTGATCCCTGATTCTGGTGATCGTGTGAGATAGTGAAACATGACAGCCACGCTTACCGGCGCAGCACATGATAACGAATTGGAATGCTGTAAAAATGTTAGAATTTCTTCAGCAGTAGGTTTTTATTCTGAGTCAATCAGAGGCTTTCTCCACTAGGAAAGTTTGCTGCAATTGTTTTCCCGCATGCTGTATCTCTTGTCTTCATTGTACACTCTCTCAGACTTCTGTTTGTCACTTATATTGTTGTCTTCCTCGTGCTCTCCTGGTCTCGAGTTTTCCTCCAATATGGTTTCGGATGACTGAAGAAATTTTAAAGTTAATGGGTGACCAGAAAACAATGTATGAATGATAAAGAAGAAAATGATATGATAAATAAAGAAATAAGGCATTAGTATATGAAGGCAAAAGAAGAGTGGCTAAATAAACAATGCAATAACATTGAACACAGTCCTGTTAAAGATGCAAAAAGTGTGCACAAACAAATTAACGATCAAACTGGAAGAAAGATACGAGTAAACACAGGATGTCTGAAATCAAAAGCAGGAGAGATCTTAATGGAGGAAGATGATATAATAACTAGATGGGATGAATACATAAGAGAGTTATATGGTGGAAAGAGAGCAGAATTACCAGAAGAAAGAAATTTAGAAGGTCCGTCTATACTAAAGGAGGAAGTTAGTGATGCTATTAAACATATGAAGAAAGGAAAGTCAACTGGGCCAGATGAAATTTCAGTAGAAGAATTAGAAGTACTGGGGGAATGTGGGGTAGAAATATCAACTAAACTGATGAATGACATTTATAACACTGGGTACATTCCAAGTGATCTGATGAAATCTGTATTTATTATGTTACCCACAAGACCAGGAACAATTGAGTGTGAAGAATTTTGTACAATCAACTTTATAAATCATGTCAGCAAATTACTACTTAGAAATATAATGAGAAGAACAAGAAGAAAAATGAGAATGGAAATGAGTGAAGAGCAGTATGGATTTATGGAAGGTAGAGGGACAAGTAATGAAATATACATATTACGAACACTGATAGAAAGATCAATGGACATACAAAAGGACTTATATTTGTGCTTTATAGATTATACTAAAGCATTTGACAAAGTTAAACATGAGGAGATGATAAAAATGTTGAAAGACAATAATGTAACGGGAAAGATATCAGAATAATTTTAAAACATTTACTGGAACCAAGTAGCAGGAATTAAAGTGGGAAACAGATTAAGTACTTTTAAACAGACAAAGCAAGGAGTAAGACAGGGATGTGTCTTATCCCCAGACTTTTCTCTCTATGTAGTGAAATAATTTTAAGGGAAATTAAAGAGAAAGCAGGAATAAGAATTGGAGAATACAATATAAACAATTTGCATTATGCAGATGATACAGTTTTGATAAGTAAAAATGCAACTGATGGATATTGTGGAGATGGAGAGTGCTAAGAAAAGACTTTCATCGAATATGAAGAAAACGGAAGTAATGGTAATATCAAAGAAGAAAATAACTCCATGTTGTGATATCTCAATTGAAGGAAAAAGACTTAACCAAGTCAACAAATTCAAACATATCTGGGAACAATCATATTATCAGATGGAAAATGTGTGACAGAGATTAAAGGCAGAATAGGTCAAGAGAAAGCTGCATTTCAGAAAATGAAAAATATCTTATGCAAAAAATCGCTCTCATTCAGTGTCAAAAAGAAAGTGCTAAAATGTTACACAGAACCTGTTCTGCTATATGGCAGTGAATCTTGGAATGTTAATGAACAACTTAAGAAGAATTTGGAAGCAACAGAGATGTAGTTTCTGAGATGAATGTTACAAATACCTTGGGCGGCCAGAGTAACTAACGATTGTTTGAAAGAAGCTAATGAAAATAGATCTTTACATACAACAATAAGAGCAAAACAATACTGTTCTTTAACCACAAAATAAAAAGAGAGACATTGGAGAACGTTGTGACAACTGGAAAGATCAGTGGAAAAAGGGATAGAGGTAGACCAAGAGAGATGATGCTGGATGGGCTGAAACGATGGCATGGAGGGATATCACCAAGAGAGCTGTTCAAAGCAACCAGGGATCATGATCTATGGAGATGCATGAGCGCCTTCAACACTTGGCAGGGTACATGATGATGGTTTTTACTTCCTTTACTTCCCAGGACTGCACCAGGTACCCACTCAAGGCTGGGTCTACCTGGGAGCCAGGGTCATTTTTGAAAAAAGTCTGGCTCCGCCAGGAGGCGAACCCATGACTTTCCGATCCACAGGTGAGTGTCTAGCGGCTACGCCATTGTGACTTCCACAAAAGATAGGTCTAGTCAAATATGCCCATGACGCCAGAAGGTGTGGAAAAGGGTGCTTTACTTTTTCCTTAATGTTTTTTTTCTGAGTTCTGATGTGTTCAAACATTCTAACTATCCATAGTCTACACAGAGCTGTGAAGGTTGTTGTTTCTCCTCACTGTAAAGGTAAAGTCAGGAGATGTGAACCAGCGTCATTGCACACGGTTATAAACCATAAGTGCTCTGCCACCAGTATGGACAGCTGATAATAAACTGTCTGCCTGTGTCGCCGTCTGCATGCAACTACGTAGCTACAGCGGCGTTCTTCCATTTACCCCAGAGTGTTAACTCTGGTACCCATTACCTAGAGGCTGAGTGAACCCCGGGAACTGCCTGGTTTCAAACACTGGCTGTGAGCTGCAGCGAGTCGCAGCTGGATTTGAAAGCGAGTCTCCTATCGACTGTGCTAACAAGGCCCCTCTCTCCTCATAGGTGGGTTACAGGTGAAGTTAGAAAATAAACTATGTAAAACTATTTTTAGGGAAAGGAAGAATAGACTAACTGTCACTTAACAAGCATGTCTTAACTCATTACTCAAGCATGTCCTAAAGGGTGATTAGTTTTAGACTTCCAGAAATTAAATGTTTTGGGCCAAAAGATGCAGATACCATAGTCTAGCTGTAATCCACAACACTATGCACAAACTGACCTTTTAAGGATGAATAAAGAAGAAGGGATATTTTTTATCATCAGCATTGTGATTAAAATGTGTAGTAAATCTGAAACACAAAAATATGTTACATTTTATGTACAATAAAAATACAGGATTGGAGTTAAGTTGAATAATTTTTGTTTATTGAGAATGGATTGGCTTTTTACCCCACCAGGACATCACACAAGCGATAAACACCCGATGACACAAAGTGCCACCATGCGGATGAGGATCACCGTGGAGAGGTCCCAGAAACCGCGTTCAGACATTTGGCCATAATGATGACCTGCCTATATTGCGGCCCCTGGCAATAGCCAGAGTGGGGCTTCAAATAACAAAAAATAACGTCCTAAGAAGGACGTAAGGAATACAACAAAAATAATTTATTGAGAATTAAAAACTATTGCCTTAGTATACTATTTCAGAAAATAGTCAACATCACTCATAGGGAAACAAATATATTTTACAAAACAATTATATTTTTATCTAGAACATCAAAATTCATGCCTTCAATCATATTCTTGGAAAGAATGACGTTTTCCTTACCCCCCCCCCCCCCCCCCCCCCCCCCCCCTACCACACAAATGTATAATATGATAATACAACATTTTTCTTAACAGTACTTAAAATGCAGATATTAACATATATTGTCTGCTCTCAAATCAAGTAAATAGTAAAAGTAAAAAAGTAAAGGACCCTTTTCCACGCCTTTAGGCGTGGAGGGCATATAGGGCTAGACCTATATTTTTATAGACCAATCGACACAAGATGGGTGATGTGGTCAGCATCACGCCGGTCGCCTTTACTTTCCCGGGACTGCACCCGGTACCCACTCAATGCTGGGTCGACCTAGGAGCCAAGGTCATTTTTGAAAAAAGTCCAGCTTCGCCAGGGAGCGAACCCACGACCTTCCGATCCACAGCGAGCATCTAGCCGCTCGGCCACGGCAACTCCCAAGTAAATAGTGGTGTTAATTAAATTTATATACACTGTCAACATGCATTTAAACAATTGATTTGAAATTGTGACAAAGTAACCGGGAAATAGATCTCTGTAATATCCTGTAAAAAACCATCCAATAAATAAATGTATCAAATAAACATAAACATTTTTAAAAGATCAACATATGGTACAATAATTGTAAAAACCTGAATAGATTTAGCTTGAAAGTACATTAACTGGTAATATCAACCTCTGCTACAAGATACATGAAGTTGATACTTGTTGTAGTCACAGGGTCTCCGATTATAATCCTTTTATAAGGTTGAACAGGTTATCTGTTCTTCTTGCAGTGACATCTGACATTTTGCTCACTGAGTCATTTTGATGTCAAAACATAGGTAAAGCCTCAGAGAGAGAGAAAAAAAAAAAGTCTTCATTTTCTTTACTACACAGGTTCTTGTTATAAAGTATACAGTAAACAATGTGTGCATACAGTAAATAAAAATATGTATAAGATTTATTAAATTAGATAATTATACATGTCAAAAATGTTTAACCACTGGGTGATGAATTGGTACATGAGAAGGCAGATGTGGTCAAAGCCCTTTGGGAACAAGCAACGGAATCAGTAGAGATAGAAGATTATTATGGCCTGGAGAGAATGAGACACCTGGGTGTAACCAGAGGGTCTGGCCGGCTCAATACACTCAAAGGAAAAAATAGACAGACATACAACCAGATTGTGACTGGTACCATCAGTATTGGAATTCTGCACTGGCTGCTGAAGGTAAGGACCGAGCATGCATGGGAACACCCCAAGTGCTGTGATGTTAACTCCTTGACTCAACTCAACTTAACTCAACATGTTATACAATTATGTGAACCCAGTTCTCAGTTCTAATAAATGTGTCATGCGTAAATGTTTCTTCCTTATGAATTACACGAATCAAGTCGTCGTAATTTTATATGCTTGTTATATTAGGTTACAGCAAACAAACAAAAACAAAAAGTCAGGATGTCTAAAATGTTTCTTGCGCTGTGTCTTCATTCTTTAAGAAAGTAACAGACTAGATATTTCTCATAGTGGTATTTCCTCCTTGGGATATCAGCTATGGAAAATATTTGGTACTAAAAGTGTTAAAAAACCATTTTGTAACCAGGAAAGTATAGCCTATAAACAGTATTTTCTCCTTAAAAAAAAAAATTAAAATTCAGACACTTAAAAAAAGATAGCAAATTATACATGGAAATGTGAATATATTTACAATATAAAAGTGTGTGTGTGTGTGTGTGCGTGCATTAGTTACAGCACTCTAAATTAAAGTATGTGTACATTAACAAATTATACATGGAAATGTGAATATATTCACAGTGAACAAAGTATAATTACAACAATTTGAATACAGAAATGTGTACATTTAGCTAATTGTGGAAATGTATGTTTATTCACAACTAGAGAAGTGTGTGTGTGTGTGTGTGTGTGTGTGTAAATTACAGCACTTTGATTGCAGAAATCTGTGTGAACTAGCAAATTTGTTGTGCAAATGATGTGTGTATATTTGCAACTATAGAAGTGAGTGTGTGTGTGTATGTGTGTGTGTGGTGCATGATGTGTGTGTATGCATGTGTGTGTGTGGTGGGGGGGGGGGGGGGGGGGGTGGGGGGGGTATATTTCAGTTAATTCTTCACCCTAGATTACAGCGCTCTGATTGCAGAATTATGTATGAACTGGCTAATTATATGTGCAAATGATGTGTATATATTTGCAACTATAAAAGTGTGTGTGTGTGCGTGCATGCATGCATATGTATGTGCGTGTGTGAGGTGGTGGTGGGTATAAATTACAGCACTATGAATACAGATTAGCAAATTATGCTTGGAAATGTTCAAATACTGACAAATATGAGTAGTTATATACATAAGAGGGGGCACACTGAATGCAGAAATATTATTTAAGAAGTCTAGTCAGCGTTGAGGATGAGACACACTCCTTGCAACACCCAGTGAGAGACATGTTCGTGTGTTGCCAGATCAGCCTCAAAGACAAGCCCAATTCCCATGGCGTTGCGACGCATGGAGGTCATGTACACAGGTGTACGCAAAGTGTTCTGTTAAAACAAGCAAGGGGTATTTAAAAAATTCTATCAACATAATAGCACAATACCTAATTATTTCTTCTTCTTCCTTTTCTTCTTTTTGCTCTTCCTCGTATCTTCTTCTTCCTTCTCCTCATCTTCTTCTTCCTTTTCCTCTTCTTCTTCTTCATCTTCATATTCTTCCTTCTCCTCCCTCTTCTTCTTCCTCCTTCTTCTCCTTCTTCATCTTCCTCCTCCTTATTCTTCTTCCTTCTTCTTCTTCTTCTTCTTTCTTTTTCTGCCTCCTCCTCCTCCTTCATCTTCTTTTCTTCTTCCTCCTCCTTCTTGTTCTTCCTTCTTCTTGTTTTTCCTTCTTTTTCCACCTTCTCCTTCCTTCTTCCTTTTTTTCTTCTTCTTTCTCCTTCATTCTTACTCCTTCCTCCTCTTCCTCCATCTTCTTTCTTGTTCTTTCTCCTCCTCTTCCTTCTTCTTTATCTTCTTCTGCTTCTTCTCCCTCCTCATCTTTCTTTTTCTTCTTCTTCGTCTTCTTCTTCTTCTTCTTCTTCTTCTTCTTCTTCCTCTGTGTTTGCCCTAAAAGGGCAGTTGGCACATGTCAGCTAAGCTGTAATATCTGTGCCTGAATTACACCCGCGTGTGTATACTCAGTGATTCAATGAGTATGATCCGGAGGGTTCAGGCAGGTTCAGTGCGAAGACAATGGCTTGAATCATTACAGAAGTCCACTGTCCGTGGTCACCTTTATTTTTGTTCCGGGACACGCAGGCGTCGATGGAAATGAAAGAGCTGACAGGTTGGCTGGATCCGCTATCACTACCGACGGTCAGCCTATGGATCATGCTGATATTATCAATGCCCTCAGAGAAATGGGAAGGATAGAGGACTTTGGTGGCAGTGAATCCACATCACTCGCCAGAATGGCAGACTTGGGAATTAAGATCGGCACAGCAAAAAACGAGACGCACACCAGCTACGCCAGAAGACTTGTTAATCAACATAGAACTGGTACTATTAGCCATCGGACGTTGGGGTTCATACTGAGGGGAGGATCTGAGCACCTATGGACATGTCCGGAGTGCAATGAGGATAACCCAACTAACTAACTAACTAACTAACTAACTAATCTGTGCCTGTCGGCCCTAAAAGTCTGATTTTAGCAAATCCTCAATTAGTTATCTTTGAAGACTGTAATATAGAGAGATATTTTACATTACAGTCCTTAAAGCCCTAGGTCTGCAGGTGATACCAAGGTAAGACTTTGTATGGTTGTTATGGATGTCCTAATACAAAACATTTTAGGAGGTTGAACTTTGATACGGGATGTGTCCCGCTGGACTGGCATCCCAGATGTGACTCCTAGAATCACAGGGGTGGTGAAGTCTTCATTTGACAGCCCAGAGTGGAAAAAGTCAGTCATGTAGATGTATTTTATTGTTCAACATAAAGTATATTGATAAGGAGATGCTGTTTGATAGAAGAATGATGAGAACATCAAAGACAGATAAAAAGCGTAATGAAGATTTCTTGAAAGAAAATAACTAATGAACAGAACTAATTACCAGTTGACTCTCATGAACAGAACTAATTACCAATTGACTCTCATGAACAGAACTAATTACCAGTTACCTCCCCTGACTTCAGTCTAGATTTGGGTCAAAATTCTTTATTTTCTAATATAAAAAAAAAAAAAAACACCTCTTTTGAAAAAAAATTGGTTGTCTAAAATATAAAGTCAAGACTATTCAGAGAAGAATGAAATTATGAACATTTTGAGAATTCTGGCAGATTCACAGCTGAAAAATATCATATGTGTATAATCAAAGGCAGTGCTTTGAAATCAGTCACGTAATTGGTTCAATGAAAGAAGTACTGTCAGAACTTTGCCATTTACATCTGCTTAAAGAAGTATGCAAAGAGTAAAGTAAGAAAGTGGCAAATAGGGTACTGTTGCTAAACACATATTTTTATGGATTAATCCGCCCTCATTGGGTTAGTTAGTTAGCCTTTCTTCTTGAGTCTAGTTCGACTCATAGGGAAGAGGTCATAGCTCTCCATGTTTGGCGGTTCGTTTTAGGTCTTGGATGTTTAGTAGACCCAAGGTTGAGCCTTCCCTGATGATGGTTTTACACAGTCTCTCTTGGTCTTCCCCGTTTTCTTTTCTCTTCCGGTGTCCATATGAGGGTTTGGTGGTGGAGTCACCACAGTGGATTCTTCTTATTCTTCTTCTTTTGTTGGCTTGGAATAGATTATCTAAATCTGCAGTGTAGTCTCTAGTATAAACTTCACTGTCTTATGTAATTCACTCAGCGACCCGTAAAGTTTGACCTGCACTGACGTTTCTCTTGGCCAAAAGTTTGGCCTTGATATGTTGTATCTGGGACAGTCTTGGAGGACATGATCTGTTGTCTCAGGTGCCAGTCCACATGTGCACATGGCTGATTCACCAAATTTAAAATTTTGTGTACATGTGGCTGCGACGTCGATTGTGTCCTGTTTTAAGGTGTACAATAATAACTTGCTCTGGTCTTTCCATAAAATAGTAATTATCTTGTTTTGGCGGCTTTCTGATTGATTTAATTTTTCTCTTCGTATGTTGATAAGAGTCTGGTACATCAGTGGATGATATGGCCAAAATTATGCGGATCACATTAAATTCGCTGGATGTTACCTGCGACTCCTTTTAGGCTGGGTCAGCCTGGGAGCTGTCAATTCTGAAACAATCTGCCTGAATGCAGATTCAAACCCAAGACTTTTGGGCCAGCAGGTAAGCATCTAACCACTAAGCTACCACAGCTCCTTAATGTGTAAAGAATTATGTATTTTTAGGTTATTTTTGTTCTATTAACCAGAACAAAGAAGACAGTCACAAATTAAAACAAAAATGTCAGTTTCTCAAAGAAAAGTCACACGCTAAAAAACAAAAATACAAAAAAGGAGAAAATGAGAGTGTGAGAAAAAAAATACACATACATGCATGGAACTAGCTAATTTTAATGAATTTAACTCAGTTCAAATTGGGTCTATAGTTTGCAATAGTTCTTATCGTTTATCTCTTCTGTTGTCTGTAAAAGAGTTGTTAGCAATAAGCAAAATTCCAGTATGGAGGAAGGACAGACTCTTGCAGAACAATTAAGCAGAAGATACAAGACTCCCACGTGATACCATACCTGCAGCTTGAGCCTGTGAGATTCTATTGGGATGATCTTCAGAACAGGAAGTTCCTGGATCAACTGTTTCGGTTTCTGAGGAATCAAATGCATTTTCTCTAGATCCCAACCAGCGCCTTCCAAATACAAGCCATGGACAAAACATCCTGGAAAAAAAAAGTTTTTTGCAAATTAAATGTGACTTGTCATAACCCCTTACAAATTACTTTCAATAATTACAATGTGCAAGGGGAGCCAGCTTCCCTGAAGATGTCTCCACTTTGAGGGGACTATAGAGATTGTGTTTCTCAATGACCCTCAGAGCTACACAAGTGCTAGCATAACTACCGGCAGGGCTTCCCATGTCAGATATGTCAAAGGTTAGAGAACAGGCAAAGAGGGACATCCTGGTTTTACAGGACTGGGGGGGGGGGGGGGGGGGGGGGGGGGGGGGGGGGGGGGGGGGGGGGGGGGGTTGATGGGGGGGGGGACATGGTTGAAGTCTGACATTAAAACCTTCACGTTTATAAAACCTAATTTCAACACAAAATAGATATGTAGACCTCGAGTATGGATATTTACTGAAGTGGTTGGAACATGTAGAGAGAATAGCAAATGAAAGAGAGACAGAAACTGCATATACAAAAGAGCCAAATGGAATTAGACCTGGTCTAATAGACCTGCCTCATGGCAGACCAAGAAGGTGGTGGGGAGATAATATACAAGCAGACCTACAAACCCCTGGAATCACCAACTGGAAAAGCTCAACACAGAGAAGAATGGAGATGGGCGATATCTGCAACAATGTAATGATTCTCAAGGGCTGGGAATGCTAAAGAAGACAAAGGACTCAGATTGCATCTGGCTTTTCCCCTGTTTTAGTTTATGTGGCAATATTTGTTTTGCTTAGAGTTAATGGCTCAATCTTCTCAACCGGTTGAGACCAAATGCTTCCCATGTAGATCAGCTTTATCTGAAACTGCTATGGATATGGGAGTCACCATGGCAAAGCAGCTAAACGCTCGCCGCTGATTGGAAGGTGGTGGGTTCGCTCCCTGGTGAAGCCGGAGTTTAAAAAAAAAATGACCTTGGCTCCCAGGTCGACCCAGTCTTGAATGGGTACTGGGTGCAGCCCCGGGGAGTAAACGTGGCCAGTGTGATACTGACCACATCACCCATCTTGTGCCAATTGGTCTATAAAATATAGGTCTAGCCCTATAAACCCTATATTCCTAAATGCGTGGAAAAGGGTCCTTTACTTTAATACTATGGATATAAACAGTCTACTGAACTAGAAATTAGGACAGAATAAAAAACAGCAGAGATTAATATCTGGAGATCACAAGAGAAGTTAAGAATATGGTAACCTTGATATCATTAAAAGAACAGAAAATATTAATTTATTTACCTGAAGCTGTTCTTTCTGTGACATCTTCTGTGTGCTTATATTGTGTTACAGACGTGTACAGTGTTGACTTGTCCAGGGGCCAGCCATTCTTTCTACATGTAGCCTGGACTAATGCTGTCAGATAGGATTCTGGGATGTGAAGACCAGACAGCCACATCACTGAGGGCTCTGCTTCATTAACCTGAATAATCCAAGCAGCATTTGTAAAGTGGAGACATGGGGGAATAGTAACACATGCTGCGTTGTTTGGGACTAAAAGAGTTAACATTATAATTAAGTTTCAGACATCTGGTTCTGACAGTCACCATCGTGTAGTAGCTAGATGCTTGCCTGTGGATCGGAAGGTCGTGGGTTTGAGTCCTGACAGAGCTGGACTTTGTTTTCCAAAAGGATTTAGGCTCCCAGGCTGATCCAGTCTTGAATGGGAACCAGGTGCAGTCCTGGGAAGTAAAGGTGGCCGGAGTGATACTGACTACATCACCCACCAAGTGCCAATTGGTCTAGACAATATCAGTCTAGCCCTATATGCCCAGTACACTTGAACTTGTGGAAAAGGGTCCTTTGGTACAAGAAAACAAACTGGCCATGGAAGTGTGTGAACAACAGAAAATTTAACTCTTTTGATGTCAAGCAATGCAGCAGTTGTAATCAATGAGTGCATATAAAACGACACTTAGTGTGTTGTTATAAATTTATTTAAATTTGGTTTAACAATACTAAAGAAGTCTGGCTAGAAACTATAAGTAGGCAATCTAATGTATGTTTACAACAAACTTATACATCTTGCCTCTTTGAAAGGTATATGTTATCTGTTTATTGTAATTACTGTCCTCTTCTCGGACTGAAGGGATAAAGATGAAATGACTGTTGAATGTTGAATGTTGAATTAAGAATCAACATCTCAGCACTCGGCACCCCCATAAGAGCTCCATCCCTATCATCAGCAGCAAAGCAAAGAGTTTTAATTCCAATGATACCAGTAACCATCTGACTGTATATTCGTCGCACCCTTACCCTGAGCGTTAAGCATCGGCTAAATCCCCTGGTAACTCAGGTGCGCCATTCTGCACAGACCATAACAATCTATTTGTGCCTCCGCACTGTTCACTCACTCCCAAAGGGCCCTCACAACAATGACAATGCGAAAGTATTTAATCAATTTAATATTATGAATCAGCGTTATAGTACAGGGAATAGAAGACAGAAATAAATGAGGCTCACATGTAAAAGCGACAGAAGATGCACTAAAAAGTGAAACACAAAATGTCCCCTTCAGTATGGTGAAAGTGAGAGAAGTAGTCACAAAATGGCCAGCACATATGCCTGCTGGCACTGTGGTCATGTGTTCAAATAAATCTTTACTGAGACATGGATTTAAAAGTTATGGATTAAGTTATTGTGAAATAGCAATAACATCCATTGACAAACATTAAAAAATAGAGGTTTAAATTATCAGCATCATGGTGTATTATGAGCAAAAGTAACCAGTGTTTAAAGTAACCAGTGATAATAATAACCAGTGTTAAAAGTAACCAGTTTTATAAGTAACCAGTTTTAAAAGTAACCAGTGTTAAAAGTAACCAGTGTTAAAAATATAATTACCATTACTGATAAATTTACTACTCTTGTGATGTTGGAAAGGGCGGTCTTTGAACCTGAGGATTTAGGGCCGAATGGCTAGTGCAGTCATTACTGCCTTTATTTACCACTTCTGTATGTCGGGGGAGGGGGAAGGGGTCTTTGGGCCTGCGGATTTAGAGCCACATGGCTGGGGGGAGGGAAGGGGGGTCTTTGGGCCTGCAGATTTAGAGCCACATGGCTGGGGGGGGGGGGGGGTTCTTTGGGCCTGCGGATTTAGGGCCACATGGGTGGGGTCTTTGGGCCTGCGGATTTGGAATAAGAAGCACCACAGGGGCATGGAAATAAATAAAGACTTAAAAAAAAACACACAAAAAAGAACAGATGGAGAAGGGAGCTATAAGGTGAAGTTAAAAAGATGGGTAGGACATGGGGAGAGCTAAATGCGATAGCAAAGGACAAAAGACTTGGTGTGCGTTGGTTGAGGGCCTATGCCCCATTAAGGGTTAGAAGGGCAGAAGAAAAAGAAGAAGAAGAAGAAGACGAAGAAGAAGAAGAAGAAGAAGAAGAAGAAGAAGAAGAAGAAGAAGAAGAAGAAGAAGAAGAAGAAGAAGAAGAAGAAGAAGAAGAAGAAGAAGAAGAAGAAGAAGAAGAAGAAGAAGAAGAAGAAGAAGAAGAAGAAGAAGAAGAAGAAGAAGAAGAAAAAGACCACATACCCATGTGTTGTACTGCTTGTATCTTCTTTCAAAGTGGAGCATCCAGTTGCCGAGGGCCTTCAGTGTATCAGGAGCTAAACGTCTCCAGATGGAAGGGATCATACCATTATAAAGTGATCTGGCAACATCATCCAGCTCACTGGACATTCCCACTTCTCCTGCCAGAGCCTGTCAGAAAAAAATTCCAAAATACAAATTAATCTGGTCTTAATAAGCTGGTTAAAGTCTTTCTTTCTTTTTTTCAGGGGTCTCCATAGTAAACAATGGTTAATCCATTTGCCTCACGCTTTGAAGGTCATGGGTTTATTTTAGGGCAGGAGCATTCTGTTGAGAAGTATAATTTTTAAAGAGATCGCTTGGGACTACATAGTTTGTGCTTTGTGTGATGCTCTTGGCAGGTGGCTAGCCATTCTGTGGAGAGAGAGAGCCAATGGAATAAAACCCAGTGCAATGAAGTCAATGGTTTTACATTCAACCGTTAACATTTGTTTCTTCTATTTTTAAATAATGGAGAAGAAGATCTGCTGGTTATTAATTTCTATGCCTAGCAGCATCCAACGGCATCCGTCTTTCTTCATGTGGTTGAATTCACACAATAAAACCATCACTGTCATAATGTAATCTTTGTTTTAATTTTTGTTTAAATAGATCCAATAAAACAATTACTGTCATAATGTAATCTTTGTTTTAATCTTTTCAATAGATCCAATAAAACCATCACTGTCATGGTGTAAACTTTTGTTGTTGTAGAGATTCCTTCCAATAAAACCACCCACATCTTTTTTTATTATTTCAGATTCCAGTAAAACTATCATTGTCATAATGTAAACATCTTTTTTTTTATTTCAGATTCCATTAAAACCATCACTGTCATAATGTAAACATCTTTTTTAAAATTTAATTTCAGATTCCAGTAAAACCATCATTGTCATAATGTAAACATCTTTTTTATCCTTCAGATTCCAGTAAAACCATCACTGTCATAATGTAAACATCTTTTTATTTTATTTCAGATTCCAGTAAAGCCATCACTGTTATTATGATAACATCTTTTTTTATTTCAGATTCCAGTAAAACCATCATTGTCATAATGTAAACATCTTTTTTAAATTTATTTCAGATTCCAGTAAAACCATCACTGTCATAATGTAAACATCTTTTTTTTATTATTTCAGATTCCAGTAAAACCATCATTGTTATAATGTAAACATCTTTTTTTTTTTTATTTCAGATTCCAGTAAAACCTTCATTGTCATAATGTAAACATCTTTTTTTATTTTATTTCAGATTCCAGTAAAACCATCACTGTCATAATGTAAACATCTTTTTTTTAATTTCAGATTCCAGTAAAACCATCATTGTCATAATGTTAACAACTTTTTTTTTAAATTTCAGACTCCAGTAAAACCATCACTGTCATAATGTAAACATCTTTTTTTTTAAATTTCAGATTCCAGTGAAACCTTCATTGTCATAATGTAAACATCTTTTTTTTTATTTCAGATTCCAGTAAAACCATCATTGTCATAATGTAAACATCTTTTTTTATTTTATTTCAGATTCCAGTAAAACCATCACTGTCATAATGTAAACATCTTTTTTTTTAAATTTCAGATTCCAGTTAAACCATCATTGTCATAATGTAAACATCTTTTTTTTTTTTTATTATTTCAGATTCCAGTAAAACCATCATTGTCATAATGTAAATATCTTTTTTTGTTTTATTTCAGATTTCAGTAAAACCATCACTGTCATAATGTAAACATCTTTTTTTGTTTTATTTCAGATTTCAGTAAAACCATCATTGTCATAATGTAAACATCTTTTTTTGTTTTATTTCAGATTTCAGTAAAACCTTCATTGTCATAATGTAAACATCTTTTTTTGTTTTATTTCAGATTTCAGTAAAACCATCATTGTCATAATGTAAACATCTTTTTTTAGTTTTATTTCAGATTTCAGTAAAACCATCACTGTCATAATGTAAACATCTTTTTTTGTTTTATTTCAGATTGCAGTAAAACCATCATTGTCATAATGTAAACATCTTTTTTTGTTTTATTTCAGATTTCAGTAAAACCATCATTGTCATAATGTAAACATCTTTTTTTGTTTTATTTCAGATTTCAGTAAAACCATCATTGTCATAATGTAAACATCTTTTTTTGTTTTATTTCAGATTTCAGTAAAAGAATCATTGTCATAATGTAAACATCTTTTTTTGTTTTATTTCAGATTTCAGTAAAACCATCATTGTCCTAATGTAAACATCTTTTTTTGTTTTATTTCAGATTTCAGTAAAACCATCATTGTCATAATGTAATCAACTTTCTTTGTGATTCCCCCCCCCCTCCCCCCGAACCCCAAAAAAACTCTCATTTATATTAAAATCTCACTCTCTACATAAAGGCAAAATACCTACCCTCTTCAGTGTACCAAGTGATCTCCTCATGCGAATTGTTAGTAAGTTAAATCTCTCCAGTTCTTGCAGCAAGACAACAGTGGTAGGACCAATATCAATTCCCAGATTTTTACGGATCTTGTCCATATCAAATTCAGCTGGCAGCTTGTTTAAAACATCTTGTGCAATCTGGTCAATGAATTCCTCACGACTTTTGCCCAAGGAAGATTCGCCTAAAGGTGACGGAGAATAATACTTGAAAATTTGTATCAATGCATTCAATGAAAACTGCAAGTTGAGTATGAAATTATATGTATATATGTGTGTGTGTATATACGTACAGTAAAATCTCATTAACATGATTTCAAGGGACAGAAAAATCATGAGTTTGTGCAAAGAAGTTTTTGTTGTTGTTAACCAGAGACTCAAATAATAATAAATCCTGCTGAGACCACAATTTTGTTCATGTTAACCAAGTGTTCTTCTTAATCTAGTGCAAGTTACAAGCTTTCACTCTCTCTCTTTCTCTCTCTCTCTCTCTCTCTCTCTGTGTCTGTGTGTGCATGTGCATGTGCGTGTGGATGTGTGTGTGTGTGTGTGAGAGAGAGAGAGAGAGAGAGAGAGAGACTTATGCTTGGATGTCTTAATAACGGTGTCAGTTGGTATTTACGTGCACTGGCTCGTTGGCCTCTTGTTTCTATTTCCCAATCCATTCTTCCGTCCTCTGAGAGTATACTTCCCAAATATTTAAATTCTTTAACTTGCTTCAGACAAGTACCATTCAACCCAATATGTAGTAGATTAGGAATTCTGCTGACCTGCATTACTTCAGTTTGAGTAGTTTTTATTTTCATGTTAAATCTTCTGTATGCTGAACTTAGCCTGCTCAAATGTTCTTGCAGTCTACTTTCCTCACTGTATAACAGGCACTGATCATCTGCATTGATTGTGTGTGGACCTAATTCTTCCTCTGGAAGGTAAAGACCTAATTTTCTTGATTTTCTTGGTCGACTGCTTTTAAACTGGCATCTTTTGATATTCTATCTATGCATATAATAAATAAGAGAGGAGATAGCACACATCCCTGCCGTATCTCTGTATTGATTGTAAACATCACACATCCATGCCTCACCCCTGTATTGACTGTAAACACCTCACATCCATGCCTCACCCCTGTATTGACTGTAAACCCCTCACATCCATGCCTGACCCCTGTATTGACTGTAAACATCACATATCCATGCCTCACCCCTGTATTGACTGTAAACACCTCACATCCATGCCTCACCCCTGCATTGACTGTAAACATCACACATCCATGCCTCACCCCTGCATTGACTGTAAACATCACACATCCATGCCTCACCCCTGCATTGACTGTAAACATCACACATCCATGCCTCACCACTGCATTGACTGTAAACATCACACATCCATGCCTCACCCCTGCATTGACTGTAAACATCATACATCCATGCCTCACCTCTGTATTGATTGTAAACATCACACATCCATGCCTCACCACTGCATTGACTGTAAACATCACACATCCATGCCTCACCTCTGTATTGATTGTAAACATCACACATCCATGCCTCACCTCTGCATTGATTGTTAACATCACACATCCATGCCTCACCCCTGCATTGACTGTAAACATCACACATCCATGCCTCACCCCTGCATTGACTGTAAACATCACACATCCATGCCTCACCCCTGCATTGACTGTAAACATCACACATCCATGCCTCACCCCTGCATTGACTGTAAACATCACACATCCATGCCTCACCTCTGTATTGATTGTAAACATCACATATCCTTGCCTCACCCCTGCATTGACTGTAAACATCACACATCCTTGCCTCACCCCTGCATTGACTGTAAACATCACACATCCATGCCTCACCTCTGTATTGATTGTAAACATCACACATCCATGCCTCACCCCTGTATTGACTGTAAACATACCAGACATGCCTTCTTGTGTTCTCTCTGTGCTTTGGGAAGTTTGGTACATGGCCACGATGTTATCTAGCAACTGTCCTGGTATCCCATAATGCTCAAGAATAGCCCAGAGTTTGTTTCTATGAGTTGAGTTGAGTTGAGTCGAGAATTGACATCACAGCACTTGGGGCATTCCCATGCATGCTCCGTCCTTATCTTCAGCAGCCAGCGCAGAGTTCCAGTACTGATGGTACCGGTCACAATCTGGTTAAATGTCTGTCTTGCCTTCTCTTTGAGTGTAGTGAGCCAGCCAGACCCTCTGGTTACACCCAGGTGCCTCATTCGCTCCAAGCCATAATAAACTTCTTTCTCTACTGATTCCGTTGCTTGTTCCCAAAGGGTCTTGACCACAACTGCCTTGTCATTTATCCTTTTCTTCTTCTTCTTCTATTGTTCACTTTAAAAAGATTATCTATATCGGCAATGTTGTCTCTGGTATGAACTTCACTGTCTTTTGTAATTCACTCAGTGACCCGTAAATTTTGACTTGCACCAATTTTTCTCTTGGCCAAAAGTTTTGCCTTGATATGTTGTATTTGGGACAGTCTTGGAGGACATGATCTGTTGTCTCAGGTGCCAGTCCACATGTGTCATGTATCAATTCACCACCCAGTGGTATCTCGTTTCTATCTACTCTATCAAAAGCTTTTTCTTGAACTTCAAACACAATATTTAGTTCATCATCATATTCAATGGTTTTCTCGCAAACTCGCCTTAGTGTAAATAATGCATCTGTGCAACCTTTCCTTTCCTGAAACTAAATTTTAAATATTTGTACTAGTCCTAAAATAATGCCTTTGAATTGTACTACACATTTAGGCACTATTTTTTTCTTTGAAATTACCATTACTTCTGTCCTTCCCATCATTCAAACTGAGGCCCATTTTATCACTTTCTTTATAACTTCACATACCTGTCTGAGGCTGCAGCTCCACCAGATGGCACCACATGTCTCTAGCAGCCTGTGTGTAGTAACCAATCTCAGCATTTGGGTGCAGGCCAAACACCTCCGGTGTGTTGGCCAGTGGCAAGCTCTCTATGTAGTCTGTCAGAAAACAAATATTCACAGTTGAACTTGAACAACATTCTCTTTAGCAACAAATTTCTGGTTTAACTTACATCAGTATGAGTTAAATATAAACTGAATTTTCTTTTGTTAACAAATTCCTGCCTACAATGAAATTTGCACAAGTCAAACTCAAGTGGATCTCTATATATTGTGTAGATAAATTCCAGTGAAAATTCATATTTGTACAAGTAAAACTAAAGTGAATTGTTGTATATGGTATAAACAAATTCGAAAGAAAATTCAAATTTGCACAAGCTTAGACAAGAACAAACACTCAATTCAAGACTGATGATTGTTTGATATGTTAAATGAGTGACATTCAACCCCACCAGGACTGTATAATGAGTGATTAACTCCCAGTGACACAAACTGCCATGATTCAGATGAGAATCCCCCAGGTGCAAGTCTCACAAACCCTGTTACACTGTTAGGTTATATTAGGGTCCCCTACAACAGCCAGGGTGGTGTTTTAAAATAACAAGAAATATTATGTTGCATTTTGTATAATGCAAACTCTAAAACAGATGGCAAACAATGACGGCCCACATTTATAGGCACAGAAGATTGATGAGCACACAAGGACAGAGCACTACTGTTTTCTACCAACATGAGCACACAAGGACAGAGCACTACTGTTTTCTACTAATATGAGCACACAAGGACAGAGCACTACTGTTTTCTACCAATATGAGCACACAAGGACAGAGCACTACTGTTTTCTACCAATATGAGCACACAAGGACAGAGCACTACTGTTTTCTACCAATATGAGCACACAAGGACAGAGCATTACTGTTTTCTACCAATATGAGCACACAAGGACAGAGCACTACTGTTTTCTACCAATATGAGCACACAAGGACAGAGCACTACTGTTTTCTACCAATATGAGCACCAGAACCCACACTGAGATCTTCACTACAGAAAAACAAAAAAAAACATACCAACATAAACATCCCTGGAACCATCTTGAGGTATATAATAATCCACATTTTCATCATGGTAGAAGTGGAATGGTTGGAAAGTGTCAAAAATGAAATCTCCCATGTATTCATCCATATAGGTTTTCAGAATACGACGGTCAAAATCATCGATCGCTCGACCTCCATACATCACCTAGAAAAAACAACCCAGAAATCTGGCATCAGTATAATGGTCAGGTAATAACTATTGTTTACAAAAAAACAATTAGGAATACTTATATTGCTCTGGGTTTCTTGGTGATCCCAGTGAACCAGTGAGCAGCATATTGGCTGTTGATACAATATGATGAAACTTAGATACTTTATCATTTGTGCGTGGCATCCTGATTTTTACGGTGTGCCTCCTGGCTGGTTGCCTCCGACTTCAGCACCTAATTTTAATTTATTCTGGTAAGCTAGATCGATGTACTAGCATATGCAACCAAACTTTTCACCCTGACATGTGTGTGCACCTGTAAATAGGACTTTGGCATCATAGGCATCATTCTCGCATCAACATTTGTACTTAACGCTAGACATAGCATTGTTGCTTCATTGACCATTATGATGCCCCTGGTGCGGTATGACGACCTTGACTATGAACTCACATCAAAATGAAGGCAATCAAAAATGCAGAGTCCTGATGCAGTTCAGAAACACTTCTGCAATTTTCTGGCAGTCATTACTTCATCAGAAATACAGGTTACGTAGACAGTAGACAGCTAAGTCTAGGATTTTCGTGAACAAATCGAGACATAAAAATTCCAGCTACCATTTTGTTGCATCCAGTGAGCAACACTTAGTACTCTTTTCAATCTGCTGGACTGTTATAATGAGAGCTCCACTAATGGCTACATGAACAACTGCCTGGTGAACCCTTTTTCTACTGGATGGGTGGAACACTGACAGAAAAATCATGAGTAATGAATACCCCTTTTTTTAAAAAAATTTAAATTGTCAAAATTTACATAAATTATCTTATTCAAGGGAGCCACTGTGGTGTAGTGGCTAGATACACATGTCTGTGGTGTAGTGGCTAGATACACATGTCTGTGGTGTAGTGGCTAGATACACATGTCTGTGGTGTAGTGACTAGATACACATGTCTGTGGTGTAGTGACTAGATACACATGTCTGTGGTGTAGTGGCTAGATACACCTGTGGATTGGAAGGAAGGTGGTGGGTTTGGGTCCTGACGGAGCAAGACGTTTTTTTCTTTTCTTTCAAAAACGACTTTGGCTCCCTTATTGACACAGCCTTTAATGGGTATCAGGTACTGCCTGGGAAGTAAAGGCGGCCGGCATGATGTTGACCACATCACCCAATGAGTGCTGATTGGTCTAAAAATGTAGGTCTAGCAATTTATGCCCAATGTGCCCAAAAGGTTACTTTACTTTTACTTTACAAATTATTCAAGCCTTCTGAAATCAGTTTTGATATATAGATAGGTTAATCCACATATTTGAGTACATACATTTTCTGAGTTTTCTGTGCCTTTAGAGAAATGACAATCATGCTTTCTATATTTTTTCGAAGGCACACATAATGGTGCATTTTCTATTTCATATTGTATACTTTCTATATTCACTTGTCTTGGGGCCCGAAAATCTTGTATTTGAATTCTACTCAAGGCAGAAAATAAAGTGATCCATGCTCATGGACAAAGCAGTATAATACGGTACTAAAAAATGTTCTGTGATGTAAAGTGGACAGATTGAGATAAATAACATTATTCATCAAGCGCCAGTCAGATTATACAATTATGAGGTCAGCACCACTTACCTATCTAAAATAGGTACCAGGAAATATCATGGAAGTAAAGGTGGTCAGTGAGATGTTGACTACATCCCTCACCAAGTGCTGAATGGTCTGAAACAGTCCAAGTCTACCACCATATGTCCAGCAGTGTCAGAAGGGCCCTTTAATTTTCTTTTAAAGACAGAGTAAATGAGTGGCTAGCAATAAAGAGTCAAGAGCTTTGTCAAAAAAAAGGAACGAGTGATACAAATATGATGTTTAGCCTAGTGCAGAATGAGTTAAAGATCATCCAGAGAGATGGTATCTTGAGAAAACTAATGAAGAGTGAGACATGGCTAGAAGACGAAGCTGAAACCCAGAAGAAAAAGATGTTCCAAATAGCCACTCAAGCCGCCTGAAAAGTGCAAGGTAAATAGAGAAAACCTTGACCTTCGGCTGCAACCCAGCAAAAGTGTGATGGCAAAAGGAAAAGAAAACAAATAAAAACAAAAAAAACATACATCTCCTATAAGATACTTCAGACTGTTCCAGGGAATCTTGTTGTCTCCTTGCTCCAAAGCCTTGCTGAGGTATGTGTTCAAGATCTGCATGCACACATGAAAGTCACTCTCGCTGAAATCATAGCTGACATTCCAGCCAATCTGTTAAAAAAAATGTATCATAAAATCATGCAGAAAGAATCTCAGCCCTACAGATTTTTGAATGATAAGAGGGTGTGGTGATAGTCAGATAGTATCTTCACTTACTAACTTAGTTATGTGAGTTTTTATCATAAATGTTTATTAAAAGAAATGTTGTTTTTCACATACACACAGAAACTGGTTACAGATATTCTCTCCGTAGGGCCACTACTTACCACTGTGACAGGCGTGCACTTTCCACACAGTTTTCACTTGTCTTGTGGATTGGTTAACTGCCCTCTTTCTATCTTCAGAGACTTTTTAAAGTTGTCAGCTGTAACCTGTCCCAAGCTGTCAGCTGTAACCTGTCCCAGGCTGTCAGCTGTAACCTGTCCCAAGCTGTCAGCTGTAACCTGTCCCAAGCTGTCAGCTGTAACCTGTCCCAAGCTAGCAGCTGTAACCTGTCCCAAGCTGTCAGCTGTAACCTGTCCCAAGCTGTCAGCTGTAACATCTCCCAAGCTGTCAGCTGTAACCTGTCCCAAGCTGTCAGCTGTAACTTGTCCCAAGCTGTCAGCTGTAACTTGTCCCAAGCTGTCAGCTGTAACTTCTCCCAGGCTGTCAGCTGTAACTTGTCCCAAGCTGTCAGCTGTAACCTGTCCCAAGCTGTCAGCTGTAACCTGTCCCAAGCTGTCAGCTGTAACTTGTCCCAAGCTGTCAGCTGTAACCTGTCCCAAGCTGTCAGCTGTAACCTGTCCCAAGCTGTCAGCTGTAACCTGTCCCAAGCTGTCAGATGTAACCTGTCCCAAGCTGTCAGCTGTAACCTCTCCCAAGCTGTCAGCTGTAACATCTCCCAAGCTGTCAGCTGTAACTTGTCCCAAGCTGTCAGCTGTAACTTGTCCCAAGCTGTCAGCTGTAACTTGTCCCAAGCTGTCAGCTGTAACTTGTCCCAAGCTGTCAGCTGTAACCTGTCCCAAGCTGTCAGCTGTAACCTGTCCCAAGCTGTCAGCTGTAACCTGTCCCAAGCTGTCAGCTGTAACTTCTCCCAAGCTGTCAGCTGTAACCTCTCCCAAGAAGAAGACCTCAATGAAATTTTGGCAAAAGATGTATGATATGCTCTTTCTAATGTGCTGTGCAGGTTGGTCTTAATTTCTATAATTTTTGTTTGATACTGTTGTTCAATTTTTTGCAGTTATCTCCCTGTTCTGTATTCATTATATTTCTTCATTGACACTATCAGTGTGGGAATTCTTCATTGGCTACTGATGGAGGGGTCGGAGCGTGTATGGGAATGTTCTGAGTGCAGTGATGATTCATTCAATTCATTCATTTTTTTTTTATGTAAAGGAAATTTTTTTCACTCTGATAATCTTCAGCCTTTCTAACCCCCAATGGAGCATAGACCCTCAACCAACTTACGCCAAATCATTCTATTCTTCGCTATCGCATGCCGCTCTCCTCATCTACTCCCTGTCTTTTTAACTTCTTCATGTGTTTTTTTTGGTTTGTCTTTCTTTATTTCTATGCCCCTGTGGGTTCTAATGCAAAGACATTATATTGTTCTCAGGTTTTCTCAATGTGTTTCCTGATAATACCTTTCCATATTTTCTCCTCTCTTGAACCACAGCGTGGAAAAAAGCAAGAGTGAAAACAAGGGCAGGAAATGCAGGGTGTTGACATTCTGACAATGCTGTTGCAGAAATCTTGTGGTAGGTGCTGCGCATGTTCAGTTTCAGGCCGTTGGGGGGTTCAGTAACAACCTGAAGTTATAAAAGCATGTCAGTAAAGTTACACAAATGCAGAAGTGGTTCTTGAGATACATGAGCATGTTATCAAAACTAGAATTAAATATATGAAATAAAAACTGGCTTCAGTTCCTTCACTGATATGACAAAAGAATTACTCAGAAATAATTACCAGATTTTTAAAAATAGCCAACAGGCAGTTTCTAAACGCACAGTAACATCTAAACATGTGTAGGAAATATGCAAGCCAAAGGAAACCAATAACTGACTACACTAATCTCTGTAAATTACCTATGGTAATAGAAAACTTGCTGCATATAAACAGCCCCAGAGAGCTGCGTGGCAAGGTCAAGCCGTTTATTACTAGGACTATCATTCAAAAGAATGCCCATGACATCTTTGAAATTGAGGAGTATAATCAATGATTGCACACTGAGGAAACAATAAATCCACCATGTTAATGACACAGTGAGTAAGATTGTCTAATTATTCACAGTAAAATTTATATCATAATTACAACCAAAATCAAAGCAAAATGTCAAATAATACAAATTACGTGGCGCGGTGATTTCGGTCACAGGCATGAGACAAAGTTAAGTCTGATGTGAGGTGTATAAGGAGGTACTCCGTACCCCACTCGGGCGCCAGTCCTTCACTGTATTGGTTTTACGGAACCTCATGCAAGACTCCTGCTGCACGTCCCCATCGTGCGCCACGGATAATGTCTCAAATGAGCATTAACAGAGTTGGCAGGGGATCTCGGAGCTGGCGGCCCCTAGAGGTGTAGTGTCCTTTCTGGCTCTCACCAGCCTGCCCCCAAACGCATGGGTGAAAAGCCTAAAAAAACTCAAGGATTGATTGCTAAATGTACCATCAAATGACAACTCTTCGTTAAAATTCAGGAGCGAATGGAAAACTGTGCTGCTGAGACTCAACCCTGAACGAGAGATTTACCCGAAGCCAAGACGAGTAACATCTCTTGTGGGTGACTTCTCGCAGCAAGATCCTACCTACGTACATCCTCAATCCTCAGTGTCGTTGTCACCGCGCTGAGATACACCACGGCAGCAACTTTTCATATGCTGGTTTGGAAATAATGTCCGACAAAGTTATACCCCACGGCACACATGCAAGCTCAAAGTCCGACGATCATAATTCGTACCGATTAGGAAAATGTCCGAATGTCCGTATCCACTGGTCCAACTCGCCTGAGTGTTGGGACCAAACAGGTGAAGCCACGCCTGACGCATTTTGCTTCCCCATTCTGTCATGCTAAGGGCACAGCTGAAACAACGTTAAAGGTGTCTAACGTAAGATGAAAAAGAATGTACCTATTTGTGTGGCCACAAACGTCCTAGATCTGCAGGCTGCTCCCCGCTGATCTCTGGAGAGCGCAGTCTCGTAGCGCAGGAAGTTTAATACACGGTTGTGAGGTTAAGCAGTCATGGGCAGGACGTGACGATTCCTTGGGTGAGCCCAGAACCAGAGCATCATGTGTCGGCTCTGCATTTATGGAAGCCTCCTTGGATGGCGGGGAATGCCCATGATCTGCCCCTGCCTTCCCTTGAGGGCTGACAATTCTACATAGAGCTGCCTTAAGGACGACATTCCGGGGGCCACACCCATTAATGGTCAAAGAGGACACCACACAAATGAGGCAACATATCAACCCACACAAAACAATGGCCACAGTCAACCTAGAAATGGGCTTGACGTCTTCCCCTGAAGTCGGAGTACATCTGCCGGAGAGGCGGGGAACGAGAACTGCGAACAAATAAGCCAGTAAAACGGATGTACACGCAAAACTCAGGTCAAGGTAAAAGCCAAAAGTCCATTTGGACGAACAACCGCGACTTACCACCGGAATTCACAGCCGGTGAACAAGAAGAAGAAGAAGAAGAATACAAATTACATAATGGTCATATAAATGATTACATGATACATAAATTTAAAATAACAAATATAAAGTCTGAGAACTCAATTGACACTGTAAATCCCAATTATAACCCAGAGGTTTGAACAGGATATTTTTTGAAAAATTGCTACTACTACTACAACTACTACTACTACTACTACTACAACTACTACTACTACTACTGCTACTGCTACTGCCTAATTAGTTCTCAAAAAAGGATATATAGGCCTATTCCTTAATTCCTTCTGTTCCATTCTTCTGTTTCTTTACCCCATTCTATTAATTTAACTCTTTCTGTCTATATTTGCAAGATTTCTTCTTTTTTCTTCTTCTCATTTTTCTGGGTTTGCACCTAAAAGGGCAGTTGGCATTTTGTGTTGTTTACAGCTAGGCTGAGATGTGTGTACTTTTTTGGCCCAACACACCCAATCTTAGAAAATTCCCGATTAGCTGCCTTTTACGACATGCTTGTTAGGACAGCAATTTTCTATTCTTTTTATCCCTCTAAAAGTTGGACCACAGAACCAACATGAGCGGTATTATTTCCACTTTTTCAAACTTGGAGACTTATTCTCTATAAAGTAAACACATTCTGGTATTTAAAAGTGTTGAAGCCATGGCTGCCTGGGCCAGAAAGAGCTAAATTACAGTACAAAGGTTCAGATATTTTTGTTTTGGACAAGTTCAAACCAACTATAAAACAGCAAAATACTGACCTTTAGTGACCGCTGCAAGATGCTGATAGGAAATGATGGTGTAGGCTCCGTGGTCAGCCATAACCTGAAGTCTGGATGCGGCTTGACCATTTTTTCTAACTGCTTGTCAAGGTCTCTCAACCACTTCACCAGCAGGTGGCAGTTCTGTAGCATCAGCCACTGGCCACGGGACATGGCTGTCTCCAGAAGGTGAAGGGCAATCTGTGCAGTACGAAAAAAACCATGTTAACAACATTATTGATTGAGCTCTAAGAAACAAATAATTCTTCTTCGGTTTGAGCTGGGCCGAGTTAAGAACTGACATCTTGTAATCTTAGTTTCAGCTTTACTGTAAAGAGGTCACCACATAGCTGCTCCGATCCTGTGCCAACGAAAAACACACAGACTGTCAATCACTGTCCCTTGTAGAAAAAAAATGAAACAAACTGTAGTCTCAGCATGACCACCAGTATACAAATGCATTAAAAGCGAAAGGCAGCCATCAGAAGTGCTAATACAAACAGTCTAACATTAGAAATGCAGCCCATCATTGACGTAAGGAGCAGTTACAAACAGATCAGCAGTTGCACATGCAATTGACATCAAAGCATCAGGGAACTTCCATAAGTGCTTGGTTCCCATATTCAGCAGACAGTGCAGACTTCCAATTCCAACAGTAGCAGTCTGATTATCTGCCTCCTCTTGCTTTTTCCTCTGAGTGTAGTCTGTCAGCCACATCCCCTGGTCACTCCCAGCTGCACAATCCTCTGAGTGTAGTCTGTCAGCCACATCCCCTGGTCACTCCCAGCTGCACAATCCTCTAAGTGTAGTCTGTCAGTCACCTCCCCCGGTCACTCCCAGCTGCACAATCCTCTGAGTGTAGTGTGTCAGTCACCTCCCCTGGTCACTCCCAGCTGCACAATCCTCTGAGTGTAGTGTGTCAGTCACCTCCCCCGGTCACTCCCAGCTGCACAATCCTCTGAGTGTAGTGTGTCAGTCATCTCCCCTGGTCACTCCCAGCTGCACAATCCTCTGAGTGTAGTGTGTCAGTCACCTCCCCCGGTCACTCCCTGCTGTAAAATCCTCTGAGTGTAGTCTGTCAGCCACATCCCCTGGTCGCTCCCAGCTGCACAATCCTCTGAGTGTAGTCTGTCAGTCACCTCCCCCGGTCACTCCCAGCTGCACAATCCTCTGAGTGTAGTGTGTCAGTCACCTCCCCCGGTCACTCCCAGCTGCTCAATCCTCTGAGTGTAGTGTGTCAGTCACCTCCCCTGGTCACTCCCAGCTGCACAATCCTCTGAGTGTAGTGTGTCAGTCACCTCCCCCGGTCACTCCCTGCTGTAAAATCCTCTGAGTGTAGTCTGTCAGCCACATCCCCTGGTCGCTCCCAGCTGCACAATCCTCTGAGTGTAGTCTGTCAGCCACATCCCCTGGTCGCTCCCAGCTGCACAATCCTCTGAGTGTAGTGTGTCAGTCACCTCCCCCGGTCACTCCCTGCTGTAAATTCCTCTGAGTGTAGTCTGTCAGCCACATCCCCTGGTCGCTCCCAGCTGCACAATCCTCTGAGTGTAGTCTGTCAGCAACATCTTTTGGTCACTCCTAGCTGTAAAATCCTCTGAGTGTACTCTGTCAGCAACATCCTTTGGTCACTTCCAGCTGTAAAATCCTCTGAGTGTAGTGTTAGCCAGATCCACTGGTCACTCCTAGCTGTAAAATCCTCTGAGTGTAGTCTGTTAGCCACATCCACTGGTCACTTCCAGCTGTAAAATCCTCTGAGTGTAGTGTTAGCCAGATCCACTGGTCACTTCCAGCTGTAAAATCCTCTGAGTGTAGTGTTAGCCAGATCCACTGGTCACTCCTAGCTGTAAAATCCTCTGAGTGTAGTCTGTTAGCCACATCCACTGGTCACTTCCAGCTGTAAAATCCTCTGAGTGTAGTGTGTCAGCCAGATCTCCTGGTCGCTCCCAGCTGCACAATCCTCTGAGTGTAGTCTGTCAGCAACATCCTTTGGTCACTCCTAGCTGTCATACACCAATTTACCACCAAGTGATACAGAACCAACCAATCTGACAGGTCATTGCCCAATACACCTTTATATCCTGGGTACAGTATCCAAAGGATGCTATTAAATGGGACCTCTAAAGTCAAGATTGCCACTCTGCATGGAGAGTATAGCTGTCTTTTATACTTTCTGTCCTATCCCCCCCCCCCCCCCCCCCCCCCCCCCCCCCCCCTGTCACCCCCCCCCCCCCCCCCAAGGAGCATAGACCTTTAAATGACTTGTGTAGTCTTCCTCTACTTTTTTATTGTGTGAAGCTTACTCTGTGTACTCTTACCCTGATTAACTCCATGTCCTCTTTATCTAATTCACTCCATGTCCTCTTTATCTAATTCACTCCATGTCCTCTTTATCTGATTCATTCCATGTCCTCTTTATCTGATTCATTCCATGTCCTCTTTATCTGATTCATTCCATGTCCTCTTTATCTGATTCATTCCAAGTCCTCTTTATCTGATGCATTCCATGTCCTCTTTATCTAATTCACTCCATGTCCTCTTTATCTGATTCATTCCATGTCCTCTTTATCTGATTCATTCCATGTCCTCTTTATCTGATTCACTCCATGTCCTCTTTATCTGATTCACTCCTTGTCCTCTTTATCTGATGCATTCCAAGTCCTCTTTATCTGATGCATTCCATGTCCTCTTTATCTGATGCATTCCATGTCCTCTTTATCTGATGCATTCCATGTCCTCTATATCTGATTCACTCCATGTCCTCTTTACATGATTCATCCATGTCCTCTTTATCTGATTCACTCCATGTCCTCTTTATCTGATTCTCTCCATGTCCTCTTTATCTGAGTCACTCCATATCCTCTTAATCTGATTCTCTCCATGTCCTCTTTACCTAAGTCACTCCATGTCTTCTTTATATAGAGTCACTCCATGTCCTCTTTATCTGATTCATTCCATGTCCTCTTTATCTGATTCACTCCATGTCCTCTTTATCTGATTCACTCCATGTCCTCTTTATCTGATTCACTCCATGTCCTCTTTATCTGATTCACTCCATGACCTCTTTATCTGATTCATTCCATGTCCTCTTTATCTGATTCATTCCACGTCCTCTTTAACAGATTCATTACGTGTCCTCTTTATCTGATTCACTCCATGACCTCTTTATCTAATTCATTCCATGTCCTCTTTATCTGATTCATTCCACGTCCTCTTTAACAGATTCATTACGTGTCCTCTTTATCTGATTCACTCCATGACCACTTTATCTGATTCATTCCATGTCCTCTTTATCTGATTCATTCCACGTCCTCTTTAACTGATTCATTACGTGTCCTCTTTATCTCATTCTCTCCACATCCTCTGTATCTGATTCACTCCATGTCCTCTTTATCTGATTCATTCCACGTCCTCTTAAACTGATTCATTACGTGTCCTCTTTATCTCATTCTCTCCACATCCTCTGTATCTGATTCACTCCATGTCCTCTTTATCTGATTCATTCCACGTCCTCTTTAACAGATTCATTACGTGTCCTCTTTATCTGATTCACTCCATGACCTCTTTATCTGATTCATTCCATGTCCTCTTTATCTGATTCATTCCACGTCCTCTTTAACTGATTCATTACGTGTCCTCTTTATCTCATTCTCTCCACATCCTCTGTATCTGATTCACTCCATGTCCTCTTTATCTGATTCATTCCACGTCCTCTGTAACTGATTCATTACGTGTCCTCTTTATCTCATTCTCTCCACATCCTCTGTATCTGATTCACTCCATGTCCTTTTTATCTGATTCATTCCACGTCCTCTTTAACTGATTCATTACGTGTCCTCTTTATCTCATTCTCTCCACATCCTCTGTATCTGATTTATTACGTGTCCTCTTTATCTCATTCTCTCCACATCCTCTGTATCTGATTTATTCCGTGTCCTCTGTATCTGACTCACTAATAATCCAATCTGAGATGTACACCAGGTTTCAGTTTCCATAGTTAGATCCTGTGGATTTCAGAGCCTGATTGGGGGGGGGGGGGGGAATAGACCTACTGCACCCCTAACAAGAATGTCATTAAAGATGACTAATTTGGGGTGTTTCCTTTAAAATTAGAGTGCATTCACCTCAGAGGCAAGGAACCAACAGTCTGCATGTGAATAAGCCAGTCCTGTAAAACACTGTGCATACAGGAACAAGACCAAAGTCCAGAAGTGGATGAACAACCAGAACTATCCACTAGAGTTTACAGGCAATGAACGCTAAGAAGAAGAATATCCACAGCAGGTGGTTTAGAAAAAGATTATTCTAATGGCTTTCTGACAATGGGATGAGTCACACTGTGCAAGAGACTGGGGCTCACCATGGAATGAGAGTCACACTGTGCAAGAGACTGGGGCTCACCATGGAATGAGAGTCACACTGTGCAAGAGACTGGGGCTCACCATGGAATGAGAGTCACACTGTGCAAGAGACTGGGGCTCACCATGGCATGAGAGTCACACTGTGCAAGAGACTGGGGCTCACCATGGCATGAGAGTCACACCGTGCAAGACACTGGAGCTTACCATGGGATGAGAGTCACACTGTGCAAGAGACTGGGGCTCACCATGGCATGAGAGTCACACTGTGCAAGACACTGGAGCTTACCATGGGATGAGAGTCACACTGTGCAAGTGACTGGGCTCAACATGGGATGAGAGTCACACCGTGCAAGAGACTGGAGCTCACCATGGGATGAGAGTCACACCGTGCAAGAGCCTGGAGCTCAGCATGGAATGAGAGTCACACTGTGCAAGAGACTGGAGCTCACCACAGAATGAGAGTCACACTGTGCAAGAGACTGGAGCTCACTACAGAATGAGAGTCACACTGTGCAAGAGACTGGAGCTCACCACAGAATGAGAGTCACACTGTGCAAGAGACTGGAGCTCACCATGTAGCATTCTTAGAAACAGTAGTGGATGCACTACAGCCAATTCCTCTTGTGGATTGCAGGGCCCCATTATGGGAATACAAGAATAGACCCACAGTCTCCCCCACAAGCACGTGTCATAAGAATAAACTAACTTGTGGGTGGTGGTGGGGGGGGGGGGGGGCCTTCCTTTAAAGTCATAGTGCATCTGCCTGAAAAATAAGTAACCAACAATCTGCATACAGATAAGTCAAATATGTAAAATGGATGTGCACACAACCCTCAGGTTCTGGAATAAGACTAAAGTGCATAGGTGGAGTTACTGCCAGTCAACGGCAAAAAGAAGAAGACTACAGCCAACCTCCATTGGAAAAAGGACATCAAATATTTTTGTTAGTAAACATTCTCATGACCTTTTAGAATGACTTCCTGTTCTGCATTCTAACCTTATAAAAGGCAGATGGCATGTTGCACTGTGGTTTTACAACAAGGTTGCAGTAACTGCACTTTTTTGGCCTACCAAATCAGATTTCAGCAAACCACTAATTAGTTGTGGGCGCTGCATCAGTGTAGCAGCTAGATACTAGCCTGCAGATCTTAATGTCATGAGTTCAAATCTGAATGGTCCTGAACGTTTTAAAAAATGACCCTGGCTTCAAGGTCAATCCAGTCTTATATGAGTACCAGGTGAAAGATCTAGGGAGTATCGGCAGCCGATGTGATGCTGACCCCATCACCCACCAAGCGCCAAATGGCCTATAAAGTATAGGTCTAGCCCTATATACCCAATACATCCAAAGGCGTAGAAAAGGGTTCTTTACTGATTAGTTACCTTTAAGAACATGCTGGTTATGGGGCAGGGTGATTATACTTCTGCCCTGTCCAGAATAAGGACCCAGAATCCCATGGGTATGAGCTGATAACCAAAGTAAGTAAAGTGAAGGGCTTTTTTCCACGCCTTCAGGTGTATTGGGTATATAGGGCTAGACCTAAACTTTATATACCAAACGGCACTTGGTGGGTGATGTGGTCAGCATCACACCGGTGCCCTTTACTTCCCAGGACTATACCTAGTATCCACTCAAGGCTTGGTCTACCTGGGATATAAGGTCATTTTTGAAAATGTTCTGCCCCTGTCAGTTTCTGAACCCACGACCTTCTGATCCGCAGGCGAGCGTCTAGCTGCTAGACTACGGCGATTACCAAAGAGAATTTATTAAAATTTACATCTAGCAATCTCACCTTTTCTTGTCCTTGACCCATCGACAGAAACTTGAGTTTGTTGCTCCCGAACTCAATTCTGTCTGCCAGTTTGATCAGATCACTTGCAGGGTCAGACCCTGGGCTGAGAATGAACACTGTCGGAGAGGCAGGAGTGCTCTGCTCATAAATGTTCTCAAAACTCACAATGGGCGGTGTGACATATTTCTCTCCCATAGTCTTTGTAATGTACTCTGTGACAGCTCTGTAGATACGATCGATGCGGAAGCAACGCAGGAGCATTAACCTCTGGAAATGGCTGATTTTCTCATCATAGTTCAATGGGAATGGCTGTGATTCTGGGGTGTCATGATCAAACCACTGCAGATTACACAACATATTATGAAATATTTTATTTAAAATAATTGTAATTGTCATATACAATGAAAATATATGTATAGGTTGTCACCTCAACTTATGACCAAATTCCATTCTAACAGGTTGTAGGTTTAATTTATATTTTTCAGCACTGTTTTCATTCAAACAAGTTACAAAAATTGTACATGCAACAACAAAAATGCGATCCATGTATGTTTAACTATAACAATGTGAAAAATCTGTAATATGTACTCTATTGCATCAGTTCTGGGAACTTTATAACCCTAGCTATTTTTCTTTATTTACTATTTTTATTTACTTATCTTTTAGGGTCATGAGTGCAGATGGTCGTAAGTCGCATAGGTCATAAGTCACTTAGGTCGTAAGTCACATAGCCATAAGTCGCACAGGTTGTAGGTCACATAGGTCGTAAGTCAAGGAGAAGGTGTAATAAAAATACAGAGTCTCAGCATAGTCAAGTGGGAGGACAATCACATATCTAAACTTGTTAATCATTATATTGTATATTTCTAGTATGTTCATGTTTTATTCAACGGATCAATATCATGGCACACGGGTGTAACCCATAAGTGTTCCGATCTACTTCTAGCTCAAGCCTGAGTCTGACGAATCTCAGAATGGACAAAGGAAAAACTGAAGTCTTTTAAGTTTGGGGAGTCGCCGTGGCCGAGCGGCTAGACGCTTGCCGTGGATCGGAAGGTCATGGGTTCGCTCCCTGGCAGAGCCGGACATATTTCAAAAATGACCTTGGCTCCCAGGTCGACCCAGCCTTGAGTGGGTACCGGGTGCAGTCTCGGAAAAGTAAAGGCGGCCGGCGTGATGCTGACCACATCACCCATCTTGTGCCGATTAGTCTATAAAAATATAGGTCTAGCCCTATATGCCCTATACGCCTAAAGGCGTGGAAAAAGGGTCCTTTACTTTACCTTTAGCCTATAACCATACATTCAAATCCTCCTTGTGAGAAATAGTGTCCCTGTAAGAAAATTGTTCCAGTCTAAAATTTCCACCAGGAATTGCTCTGGTGAGCATAGTCAGCTGGCATGCTCATGACCTTATCAACCATTAAATACCCTCTATACATATATAAGTCTTTCACCATTCCCAATAACTTTCAAGGTGTGCAAAGGAATCTTTTACTTCACTTAACTCTTTGAGTCCCAAGGAACGCATCATACATTCATAGATTCCTACCTAGAAGCCCAATGAACGCATGATGCGCCAATTTTATGACTCTCTTTACTACCACCTGGGTCTGTGATGCTAAACACACTGGGACTCAAAGAGTTGGAAAAAAAAAAAATTTCAGTTGCTATCTCTTATTTCCCATGACTAGATTAGTCCACATTTCGTACAAGGCTATATCTTCTTCCATACATCATCAAATGGCAATTGGTCTCAAGGCATGAAACAAGATACTCTGATTACTTTACTGATGTGAGGACTTTTAATTTCAAACACTATTATTAGTAAAAGTTGTGTACAATGCCACCCCTTATCCAAGCTTTCTCACTTTTTCAGTGTGACTGACATCATTAAGTGACAACTGGTCTTAAGACATGAAGGAGTGCTTATTACCTAACTTTTTTTTACTTAACTAAAACAACAGTCTTTATTTTCATACTAATATTATTAAAAGTTGTGCAAACAGCCATACCGTCTTCCATACTTTCTCATTGTGTTCTACATCATCAAGTAACGATCCAAAGACAGGATAATCTGTTGCCAAACGATTGCAGTCCTCCCATCCTTCGTCAGGGAACCATGGGAAGGGTTTCTTTCGCTTGCTTTTCTCCAGAGCTACCTTACCCTGAATTGAATAAATTTACATAAATATAATATAGAAGCAAATCATGAGAAGGAGAAATACAGAGCACATAATGACAACAGGAAATCTGGAGGAAAATCAGGCGAAGGAAGACCAAGGGAGAGAATGTGGGAACACACAGAAACCATAGCAGCATAGTAGCTTGTTTACCAAGGCATTGTTCCAGGTTCAGTTCCCAGTCAAGCTGCATTACCATAGGAACTAAGATCAGAAAAGATGGCATCATTTCATGAGAAGAAACCTTTAAGCACATTTTAAGTTTGAGTGGTACCTAAAGAATAGCCAGGTATATTATCTGGAGCAGAATTAAGCAGCTTACTGATTTAAGAATCAACATCATAGCACACAGAGCATACCCACAGGTGCTCCGTCTCCTGCAGCAAATGTCTTAAGGTGTAGATGCTAACTGTTTCCCTAGCACATTGATTATACACATCATTCTTTTCCTCTCATATGCCCCTCTATACCAGATCTGCTCCCAGTTCTACATTCACATATTCTTGCCCATGTTATTTCAATAACTAGCTAAGTAAATAAGACCCCCCAAAAAACTCAACTAAGCAAGTGAGGAAACAAAAAGTATCACACCTTAATGAAGAAATCTAATTCATCTTGTGTAACTGCTTTCTTGTCCATTTCCAACTTGATATTGATTTGGAATGAAAACAGCAACTTATGTTTCTCAAAGATACCTGAAAATAAACAACTGTTACATGAACCCTTTTGCCTCAGGAATGCTAAAAAAACAAGGGCCATGAACCAATGGAAAGTCTCAAAATAAATACTTAAAAATTTTTTAAACTATAATAAATCTTTTTCAAATGTATTTGTCTATATTTGTTTTTAAAAAAAAAATTGTTTGAAATAAATATATAAAGGAAGTTATTAATAAACATAAACAGGTTTATGTTTTGAGGTTCAGATCACCCAAACCTTGTTAGAGCTTGCCCTTTTTTGTGTGAGTTTGGTGCTGACAGATTTCTCCTGGACTGAAAGCAAAGTCATTTTTCTTGACATGGTATAAAAGATCTTTCTCCTAGCCTGGTATAAAAGATCTTTCTCCTGACCAGGTATAAAAGACCTTTCACCTAGCCTAGTATACAAGATCTTTCTCCTGATATGGTATAAAACACTTTTCTCCTGAGCTGGTGTAAACGACCTCTTTCCTGACCTGGTTTAAAAGACCTTTTTCCTTGCCTAGTATACTAGATCTTTCTCCTGATATAGCATAAAACACCTTTCTCCTGAACTGGTATAAATGACCTCTTTCCTGACCTGGTTTAAAAGATCTTTCTCCTGATCTGGTATAAAAGATCTTTCTCCTATAGCAGTATAAAAGAACGTTCTCTTATGATGGTAAAAAAGATCTTTCTCCTGACCTTGTATAAAAGACCATTGTTCTGACATGGTATAAAAGATCTTTCTCCTACAATGGTATAAAAGACCTTTCTCCTGACTGGTATAAAAGATCGTTCTCCTATGATGGTTTAAAAGACCTTTCTTCTGACCTATCTCTTGACCTGGTATATGAGACCTTTCTCCTGACCTGGCATAAAAGACTTGTCTTCCAGACCTGACATATAAAACTTTTCTCTTGACCTAGCATAAAAAACCTTTCTCCTAACTTGGCATATAAGATTTTTCTCTTGGCCTGGGGTAAAAGACCTTTCTCCTTGGAAAGAGAAGTGCCTGGGGGTTCATAGCAAAAGACAATGGAAAATCTTTAGTGCAAGACAGCCTAGCATACGACATCACAACATCTAGCATGAGAATGGAGATGGAAGCAATAACTGCAGCTCTCAGGTGGCTAGAGAACAAGATACATACACATGTCATAATTGTAATAGACTCTGAAAGCATGCTGAAAAAGATGAAGACAGGGATGATTCGAGCAGAGTGGCAAGCTTCACTGGGAAGGTCACGGGTAGCGAGCATACTTTAGATCTTTTTTCCAGGCCATGCCGGCGTGGTGGGTAATGAACAGAGGGACAGATTGGCTGGATCTGCACCAATGGGTTATGAACTGATACATGACAAGACAGATCTGGTCAAGGCTCTTTGGGAACAAGGAATGGAATCAGTAAAGTAACAAGATCATTATGGCCTGGAAAGAATGAGGCACCTGGGTGTAACCAGAGGGTCTGACCGGCTCACTACACTCAAAGGAAAGGCAAGACAGACATATAACCAGATTATGACCAGTACCATCAGTATTGGAACTCTGCGCTGGTTGCTGAAGATATGGACTTAACACACATGGGAATGCCCTGAGTGTTGTGGGTGAGTGTATCCATGATGAATAACATACCAGTACAGCCATAGTTATAAATGTTGTGGGTGAGTGTATCCATGATAATGAATAACCTACCAGTACAGCCATAGTTATAAATGTTGTAGGTGAGTGTATCCATGATGAATAACCTACCAGTACAGCCATAGTTATAAATGTTGTGGGTAAGTGTATCCATGATTAATAACAATAACCTACCAGTACAGCCATAGTTATAAATGTTGTGGGTGAGTGTATCCATGATAAATAACCTATCAGTCCAGCCATAATGTTGTGGGTGAGTGTATCCATAATGAATAACCTACCAGTACAGCCATAGTTATAAATGTTGTGGGTGAGTGTATCCATGATGAATAACCTACCAGTACAGCCATAGTTATAAATGTTGTGGGTGAGTGTATCCATGATGATGAATAACCTACCAGTACAGCCATAGTTATAAATGTTGTGGGTGAGTGTATCCATGATGAATAACCTACCAGTACAGCCATAGTTATAAATGTTGTGGGTGAGTGTATCCATGATAAATAACCTACCAGTACAGCCATAGTTATAAATGTTGTGGGTGAGTGTATCCATGATGTTACGAAGCCGTTTCAGCAGCACAGAATCAGGGTAGCTCTTTTTCAGAGAAAGTTGAAAGACATCCAGGTAAGAGGCCAGTGAATATTGGTACATGGAATTCACTTGTGACATCTCTGCCAGGACGAAAAATAGGATGGCTCCTCGCTTAGCAGCCGGACGATATCCATCTCGGAGTTTCTCAATGTCGATTGCAGTTTTTTCTCCCAGTTTCAGTTTTTCTGTTACCTGATTAAACAAGATGGGAATACTTGAGCTGATAGAATCAGATAAGTTCCTTTTATCATCATTAAATACCTTGCCTACTGACACAACCATCAGTGTCATTACAAAAAACTGTCAAGAATCTTCTCGCACTGACATCCTCTGTCTCTTTCTTCCCCACACATTTTTCCAGTGGTTACAGCATACTTCTTTTTTCTTCTCATAAAATGACACCCCCCACACACCCATCCTCCCACCCCGTCAAATGATGACTGTCTCTTTCTGATGTTTGTGATAAGTTCTATTATGAGTCCAAAAAATATTTAGCTAAGATTTAGCTAAGGACTCATCAAGCCCCAGGAATGTGTCAGTTTTACTAATTTCATCCTAGACAGCTACTTCTTATTTCTTTCTTTTTCAAGCAGTCAGCTGTGTGTGATTTGATATTTATTATATACATCAGTCATGTCTGGTTGTACTTGTTACATTTAGTCAGAGTTAACTAGAAATCTGCAACATAATTATTTCTTTCAAGGTGTCTGGGTGTTTGGTTCTCATATGGATATAATTAGCAGACAGGTTGACGTACGCCTAACTAGAAGCAGAAATTTGGTTTCTGAGGAGAACAAGCAAATAATACATTTGGCTCACAGAAACAAAAAAAATGAGGCTGTCCCCCAAAAAACTGAAACAGGGACTGCAAACTTATCTGAATAAGAGAAATTAGATAAATATGAAAAAAACTGTCTGGGCATGTTACAGATGTACTTGACAACTTTGTGACAACCGGCAAACTTGAAAATTAAAAAAAAGGGCAGTAAGAAGACTCTTGAAATATCAAACTGGGTGTAACCAGAGGGTCTGGCCAGCTCACTACACTCAAAGGAAAGGCAAGATGGACATATAATCAGATTGTGACTGGTAGCATCAGTATTATAACTCTGCACTGACTGCTGAAGATGAGGACGGAGCACACATGGGAATGGAATGCCCCTAGTTCTGTGATGTCAATTCTTGACTTAACTCACCTCAGCTCTTAAAATGTCAGTATATTTACTGGTTTCATTGCAACAGCACTGGCTACATTTGTTTCCACATATTTAATGGATCTATTATGTTGATCACATCACTTACTTTTTTGGTCTATAACTGGTCCATATTTGGTCTCAACTGGTTTACACAAACATGAGTCTAGCATAAGAGGCCCAATATACCATTGGAGTAGAAAGGGTAATTTTACTTTTACCTTTTTGATGGACCTATTACAGCGACTCATAATGAAAGCCACGAATAGTAACACTGTAGCCTAGAGGTGTCTCTAAAGTCTGGACACATAGGAAATAAAGATTTTGAAGATGTTATTTAATATTCCAACTGAATAAAATGTCATTAATAAATTTCATTTCTTGAATATATGTATTTCTGTATCTGAGTCCATATTTAGGAACACCCAGTATACTGGACATTATAAGAGCTGATAAAGGTAGTCAGCAAGTGAAATGGTTTGCCCACTTAGAGAGAATGCCTTGTAACACCATACCATACAAAGCATACATGGAAAGAGAAGAAGGACGTAGAGCACGGGGTAGACCAAGAACACGATGGAAGGATAACATCAGAGAAACTCTACAACAGCACGATGTGCCTATGGTCGAGGCAGCCAGAAGAGCTAGAAACAGAACCTTATATCTCCCTCGACACCCACAGCGGTAAAAGAGGAAGTGAAGAAGAAGAAGAAGAAGATAAAGGTAGCTTGACATGAGACTGGCGACCTCACTCTATAGAAGAATGTAGTTCAAAAAACCAACCAATTATTGAAAAGTCT